AACTTTAGACGCAATAAAGTAGACGCCAATTTCAATCCAATTTCCATCCAATTCCAACCAGTCCCATCCACCAACACTCTGTCAGCCAGCATTTCCGACTTGGGCAGCGAATTGATTTGCCCTTGACCCGCATCCGCATCCGCGTCCACATCCACGTTCGCTTTCGCAGTCCGGAAGCCACCGCTGCTCATGACAATTGAAAGCCATGTACCCCGGCTGGAGTTGCGTGCCAGGCGCAAAGGAAATTATTATCATGATGGAGACCGCGGCGCGAAATGAAATCGTTAAGAGGCGAGTAAATCAGGCAAATGGGCTCGTTGCTGCCTCGTAAGCATGGTTTCATTAGCGAGGCGTCAAAACTACTCCAACTGGGTTAAAGAACTCAACTCTGACAGCTGCAGCGGGTGGCCGAAATCGAAATCAAAATCAAAACAACGTTTCATATTCAAATCAACTGCAGCTGCCAACTTTTGATTTCTTTTCTTTTGAAGAAAATATGGGATATATGAAAGGATATAGGATGTATAAGTCATAAAATAAGCGATTGCATGTAACAGCACTTAGCGTAAAGCTGAGGCCAAAATGGAATCCTTTCATTTTCGTAGCTTTTGTTATAGTCCCCCTTCCTGCGGCAGTGACACCTTCAGTCAGACGCCGTGGGAAAAGTCGGAAAGGCAGAAGAACCATGGAGTTGTACCATTGGGGACGGAGTGTCGGGGAGTCGGAAAGTTGGCGTGCGAAAAACTGGCTAACTTCTTGGTCGCGGCACTGGTGCCTTTCAGTTGGGATTTACGATCTGAGCGGTCAAGTTGTGGTGCGGCGAGCTGCGCTTGAATGGCGCCGGAACAGGGACTGGGTTAGTGGCCAGCCCCTGGCCAAGGGTGTGTATGGCATGTGTTTGTGTGTGTGTGTTGGCAGACCATGAGTGCCCCAAGTGTTCGCCCTCAAAGTGCAGACTCATTTAATGTTTAATTAAAGTGCAGCCCCCGAAAGGAAACCAACAATGGCGATAGCATACGACTGGAAGAGTAGCGATGGGTAAGGCTGAAACTTTCCTTTTTCTTGACCAACATTTAGCCAGAAATAGCTGCTAACGTTACTACGAACTGACCTGATTCTGAGCCTTTAAAATTCCCTAGGAAATGTGTAAAGCAATCTGACCCACTTACTTGGCTTAAAGGGCTAGAAATTTACGTTCGAAACTGTGGCTCTATCATACTTTCCATGTCTTGAATTCCCGATTCCATTTTTTGAAGTTTTTTCAGTTGAAGGGAAGTGTTATAGAGGTAGAAAAGTAAAGCTATTTAAAGTTGTTAAATGCTAAGCGAATTCCCGGCTAGCGATGACCTTGTCTTGTTTTTTATTCCCTTTTTGATGTTAACATAATGGTGCATTCTTGTTTATTGCATTACGTATACGCCCCGTGGCGTGACTCGGCTGTGTAACAGCAATTAAATCGTCATAAATCTGCAAGGGTAATTATGTGTGTCCAGGTATCGTTCTAGCCGGCAACTGATTAGCATATTTAAATGACCTGCGTTACGCTAACCCGCTTTAAAAATAACCAAAGGTCATTTGGCATTGTCAAGATTAGTAGCTCTGGCTAGCTAGTTGGACTTGTACAACTTCCACCAGCTGGCGACTCCTTAAGTTGGCGGCCCGAATTAGGTCAGACTTGGAGCCGTCTCGCCGCCACGAACCCTTCTATGCTCCTGTCTGTTTCCGTTTCGGATTCAGTCAGCCAAACACGCACACTCCCCCCATTAGCTGGGTTTTCTGTTGATTGCGGAATATAAAACATTTTGGCAGCCATCAATTATAACCATTAGTCTGGCACACATATTTTCTCGCACGTAACTAACTTTTGCCCATTTGCCTTTGGCGAAAACTTTAAATTCCGATGTGTGTCGAACAAACAAATAGCAGGTGAGTGGCGGCAACAGGTGTTTGTGGTCACATTTAGAAGCGCCCTAAACCAAAAACAAAAACAAAAAAAACAAGAAACAAATGCAATTTGCATGTGGGCAGGTTCACCTTTGACGGGCAATCCTTGTGCATTTATAATGGCTTGCATTCGCCGCTGGGTCGCGAGTCCTTGGCAATGCCTCAACAAAAAACTCATTTCCGTATATGGATTACCAAGGACCAAGACACACGTAGGGCGTTGTCAGGACTAACAAAAGTTGGGGAATGCTTTTTTTTAGCTATTGATTGGAATCGATTCCAGTGTGGGAAGATGATGAGGGCTGTTTAAGGGATTACTCGGGATATCCTTAAAAATACATATAGATTGATATTTGTAGTTATGGTTAAATTTAGATTTACATTTCTAGAAAACTGTTAAAAAGTTTTAAAAATTTTGTATGCCCTCGTTGCGGACCTGTTCTCAAACACCGGCTGCTCCCGTCGAATCCAATAGACAATTTTCTAATTTGCAGCAATTTTATCCTCCTTCCGTATTCATTAGTTTTTTTACGAATGTTTGGATGTATGCCTAGCAACATCGCCGCCATGGCACGCCATTGGCAGGGAATCGAGGTGGCAGTGCCGGTGGTGGGGAAATGCCTTTGCTCCTTGCCAGAGATCCGAGGCATCGACAATGCAATTGTGGAAAGGGGAGTGGAATTTTTGCCCCCATTATCGAAGGAGCCTACCTGTTATTTGGTTGTGGTGGCGACGACCAGCACTGGTCGTTACTTTAGTGCTCAGTTGGCAGCCAAAGATAATACGAATCGGATGTTTTAATAGTCTTTTTTAAAACCCTTCTGGAACTTAGCTTTGATGCCGATTTTGGTTGGAATCGTTCCTTCTCCGAGCCGGATCTCACAGCTAACCAAAAGTCGGGAGGACTCAGCCGATTCACCATCAAGCATCCGCACGAGTACATAGCCGTCGATGACCTGAAGTACTTCCGTCGCCGCCAGCCCGTCCAGCTTCACACACGGAGCAACGTGTGCCTTTACAACAGCGATGAGCCAGTGGCCAGTTTCGGCTCCCTGAAGACAGAGTATCGAAAGCACTTCCGTGACCACCGCATCCAATCGGGACGCAGATCTCTGCTCCGGCGCTCCACCTCGCTACGACTGGAGGGATTCATGCAGCTGCTGTCGGAGCACCAGGACAAGTATCACTGGTACACCCCCGAGGATCTGCAATTGTAAGAACTTGTATAGTATTAAGTACATTGATTTCGTAATTCTATTAAAATCCCAGAGTGGAAGGAAATAAATCCAATCGGGAAACCCATCAGAAACCAATTACCTTTTCATTCCAATCAATTATTTGGTAACCAATCGACTAAATTGATTTCCAATCTACAGCTCCCGCACCTTTCCGGTCCGAAATCCTGAGAACCTGCAACTCGGTCGTGATACCAACGGAGAGGGAAACGCCGATGGCATGAAGAACTCCTCGTTTATAACTGCTCCGTTCGTGGATCCCAGCGCCAAGATACTGCCGAGGGAGGTATTCCTTGACGAATCGGAAGTGGCGGCACGAAATCAACCAAGTAATAAGCTGGCAGCGGACAAGTTCCGCCGCGATGTGGCCGCCCAGGAGCAGCAGAGATGCCATCTGCAGATGCGAGCCCAAGCCGTCGACGGGGAACAGCAGAGCCAGCAGCCGGAGCCGTCCGAGTATCGTCGCCAGTTTGTCCAGCAGTTCCCCGAGAAGGCTCACTCCATTCCCCAGATGAGCAGCATTAAGATCCAGGGGGAGTTCGTGGCTGTGCCGGAATATCGCGACAGCTTCCGGATGTATGCGAACTATTCGAAGAGTGCTCCAATCAAGAAAGACGACAACCTGCGCGTCTCCGGCTCCGAGGGAACCTGTGCGCCCAGTCCCGAGGTGCCGGAGTATCGTGACAAATTCGTTGACCCACCCAAGCATCTGGCCAAAGAGAAGTCCCTAAAGACGGACGACCACCTACGCCCGCGCGGCGAGTTTACCAAAGAGATTCCCGAGTACCACGAGAGCTTCCGAGACCCGCAAATTACCGAGATGCCGGAGCGCGGTAAGCCCCGGGAACCGTTTCTCCGGCTGCGCGGCAAGATCGAATTTAATCCGGAATACCGCAACAACTACCAGGACTTTCCACGCTCTCGTCCGGTTGTCCAGAAGCCGACCTCCTGCTTCCGGCTGCCCACCTCCAATGCCACCACCGTCCATCATAGCCACCAGCAGGATCACGATCAGGATTTAGATCTTGGTCCCGCCGTCGTGACCACAGTTCCCCCCTCAGAGGTCACAGCCACGCCGGAATATCGCAGGGCTCAGTATAACTACCAACTGAGGGAGCGTCCTCGGGATTCGGAGGGAGGTCCCGGTAATCTTCGAAAGAGCTCGGATTCCTCGCTGGAAATCCGACAGCCGCAAATGCACAAGCGACGCACCTCACGGCAAAGGCAGATCAAGGAGCCAGTACAGCCGGCCGCCACAAGTTTCGAGGATGTGGGTGGCAATCTGGCGGCCAAGAAGCCGGCCAGATACGGCCGGAGAGCATCGGTGCTCCAAAATGCAGCCAGTTGCCGCGAGAACTCCTCCATCATAGAGGGAAATCCCAAGTACGCAGTAGGATGTCGCCGCGCTGTCAAACAACATGCCGGAAACCAAACCCAACCCGGCTCCTTCGTGGTTCTCGACGAGCCGTGCAAGCCTTCCAACTGGATGAAGAAGACCTGGTACGACTCCTAGGTCAAGAAGCCTCCAAACCAATGCAAAATAGTTTTCTGTTTTAAATCTTACAAACTAATAAAAAGAATTCAACAATAGATATTGATTGTTCGATTAATATTCAATGAATATAATCCTTGGTAAGAGTATCTAATAGATGAAATGTCTTAGTTTCATTTTCTTTCTCTCCTGAGATATGAAAATGTAAACAAATAGCAAAGTTCTCACTAAAAATGTTTGGCAGGCTTTTTATCTTATCTCGATCGTTGATAGCGATTTGGAAGAGAGCGGTTACTCATAGTGGGTCAGTATTACTGCGGATTTCGTCAACCACGGTTGTATGAAATAGTTTACACCACACGCTCGAAAAGGGGACGCCCCACAGGAAGTGCTGTCATCATGGAGGAGCAGGTGGTTCACGCTGCCACTCCACCGCCCCACATCCTGGGCTATACAATTCGAAGTCCCACCCGCATCTGGGTGTCCTACATAGTGCCCACATCCTTGGCCCTGCTAGTTTACATTATCCAAACGGCCTCGGACTTGGCCTTGAGCTATCAGCATTTCAGCCAGAAGCAGCCGGGATTCGGAGCTGGAACATTGGTATTGGTGTTACTGCCACCTCTGCTTACCTTTATCTTGGTGGTTTCATCCAGGGATCAACGGCAGAACGAGACCACGGGTAGAAATAGATGTTCTGCCCTTGGCCTTGGGCTACTTAGGCTTTTGCTTTTCCCGTTTTTTGTGGTTTACAGGTGAGTTCCGTTTCCGATTCGAGATGTGGGTCACTGCCATGATTAATTATAATTTACGATAAGGTTCTGTTGGCGGTTCTTTTGGTCGGTGGAAGGGCTATTCCACAACGACGACGACGTGGAGCGTATGAAGTGTTTGGCTAAGGCCACAAAGACATCAAATATAGAGCTGTATCTGCTCATCCAGGCCTATGCCCAGGCAGCACCACAGATTATCCTCCAACTCTACCATATGCTCATCCAGGACCTCTTTAGGAACTATGAAACCTGTAAGTAGAATCTGTATTAATGGCACCCTAAAATCCTATCGCCATTTTAGCCGCAGTTCAGGCCATGTCCCTGGTATTCTCCGCCATTGATTTGGCGGCCATAACGACCAGCTACCATCGCATTGAGAGCCAGCGTCGGGTGGGACGTCACTATCCCTGGGCCACGTCCCAGGAGGTGGACACCCATCGCTGTCAGTTGGAGCAGAATGAGCGGCTGTGCTGCGAGGTTGCCAGGAAAAAGCGTGAATCAGAGCGAACCATTACTAGTTTTCCGGAATCAGACAAGATTATGGAAAATTTTCGATCCCGCCGATCGCTTCAGGTTTCCGACCCAAACACCCATGAGCTGCATGTTCATGGTGAAGATGAAGTGGACAACGATGCCCTGGAGGATGTGGAAACGCGAGCTGTACTCCATTCAGGACCTAAAGACAATGCCACAGATGAGGAAAAAATAAAAGGTACAAGACCGAAGCTGAAGATACGCTATGAGGACCTTGGTGACTTGGATACTATCGATGTACTAGACACTATCCCGGAGACACCAGCGCCTCCCCCTCCGCCAAAAACAGCTCCACCACAGTTGCCAGTGCTGAAGCCATCCGAAGATGATCCTCCAGCTCCCGATTTGCGGCGCACCATGTCCGATAATGATCCCAGAAGGAGTCGTAGAGTTACGAGACCACTGTCACAACTAGAGACCTTTAAGGATATGCTACTTGTTAACGCCCAGTTGTATATCAAGGAGCACGTTCCACATCCACCGAAATTACTCATGGGCAGGGTCAGCGAAGATGACGCCGAAGAGCACAGCCCCCTGGTTCCAAAGGAATCTACACCAAAGACATCTCCGTTGACCCCCAAGGACGTCGTAGACTTTTATTTCCCGAAGCCCACAAAAATAGTAAATGGAATTCAGCAGGATGATTTCGCGGGTCGCACAGTTTCCTTCTTTGGGTGGATTGCCTTTATTACCATGAGGATGCTGGCCTTATCCACGTTCTGTGTCTTTTATCCAAAGGCATTCTTCATCTTGGTGGGAGTTCACTATATCCTGATGCTCAGTTGCCTGGCACTGGAAACCCGTTGCCGAGGAAGCTGGACCAAGACCATGTTTCTCCTGCTTCTCGCCTACATTTATATCTTCGTTCTGATGGAGTTTCGGGTGTGTTTTAAGAGCATTCGTCTGTGGTATGGAGGCTACCTGGTGCTCACACTAGTGGAGAACATAACCATGACTTCAATATGGTATGGAAACGAAGAGTGGGAGTCATGGTGGTTTGGTTTCATCGCCGAGTGGATCCTATACAGTGGTGTCCTATTTGTTGTCACACTCATCGTCTACTATTGGATACTTCGCCCCAAAGAAGTCTCTCTCATAGTGGAGGATGATGGCCCGGCAACACCTGGTGCTAACACCGATGAACAATCTGTTGCCTAGCGATAGTATATTAGTTTTGTTAGATCGAAGGAGTAGGCCAGTTAGTTGCTGGATAACGAATAAATTATTTAACCTAGTATTAGCTCAAAAATATTTCAATTAAAAAACTCATACAACAATGGTTGATCGTGGCAATAATTTGGTTCTACCGGTCGGGCCTTGCAGTACAGAGGCGACAGAAACTCAGACAAGCTTTGGTCCGCCCAAAATCAAAAAAGTACTCCGTAAGTTTGTCCTTATTGTTGAAGTCCGCGAACAGTAGAGTTAACACATTCTTCCCGATCCAGCGACTCGGGCTAATCGTATGGAGCAGTTCCTTTGGCAAGAATTTTTCAACGAATACAACCGTCAGGCTTCAGCACAGCCGGAACGAGCTAATGAAACTACAGAGTACTATGACCAGTTCTGCAAGGATATACCTCCCAAAGATGAGGAATTGGAAGAGGTCCTTATAAACAAGTATCCGCTGTACTGCACGACAGCTGTCACCGTCTGGAATCACGTTGGCGATCCCACCATGACATTCAAGAGGAAATATTCTATAACTAAGCCAATTCATGAGTGCTCCGAAAAGTTTGCACCATAGAGGAGTTTTAAATCTGATTACATTATCGTGGAAATGTTTAAAATTATATTGAAAATAATATTTTAAATCGTATCATTCGAAAAACCTCTTGTTTTTTATTAAGAAAAGGATTAAAAAAAGCAAATTGTTGATACATATATTTTCAAATTTGGATTAGGTGGCCAGAATTTTAACGGTCTTTATTTACTGAACTTTTCAACATTGCTACGGATAATTATTCATTTTCACGCATTTTCCAACACTAAAACACTTCGATATATGGATATCGATTACAATATATATGACGTGTCGAAAACTGAAACGGCGGTGCTGGCTTTTGAGCGATTTATATTTATTTTCCTATAGAATTTAAGCAGCGTGTGAAAGCGCATACACATAATAGGAAAATGTTAAAGCTTGGTGCGTTGCTTGAACTGTGTATTCACACAAAAATTTACAATTAAGGGCGTCGCCAGAAGAAACGCCGGTTCCTCTGTCGCCATCTCTTTCTGATTTTCGTGGTTAAGCGATTGCCGGCGACTGGAAATTTTTAACATTTGATTCCAATCTTTTAGGTCTGACGTTGCTCTGCTTGCTAGCCGCTTTTGGAGCGACATGGAGTGCACGCACAGTAGACAGCCACTTGGGACCCAAGGATCTCACCCGCCTACAGAAAGTCTTCGTCGACGGATACGGGTCCAGCGACCTGCAGGCCATCTTCTTCTCCAGCCTTAACATCCAGCTGACTGACGCCTCCCAGAAAGAACCTCTGTGCAAGAAGTTAGCCACTCTGCATGCAGAATCCAAGCTGAACGTGAGTTAATTAATACACCCCTCTAAAACCTGTGCAATAACTAGACGATCCATCTTTCCATCTTCTTGTAGAGCTTCGAGAAGGACTACTATTACATTGGCGCTAGCAAAAACTTGGGTTGCTCTGCCAAACTCGAAGAGGCCCTGCTCTCCAAGGTGTATGCTTCCCTGAACTCTGAACTGGGCAGCAGCCAAGAGATCTTCTACCGTGTGGTCACCCATAAAGTTCTTGGCGTTGAAATCAATGAGGCCACTCAGACCAAGGTCGTTAAACGGCTCCAGGAACTGCTGAAGAAAGACGACACCCTTAGCGGCCTGGGCTACGCCTTCAATGTTGCCACTCAGTTGGGTAGCAGCGCTTCTTTCATTGCCAATCGTGTTGAGGATGCTATTGTACAAGCGGACGAAGTGGACGGCAAACTTTTACAGTTTGAGGGTGGATTGAGCATTACTTCGTTGATCATCAATGGAGCCTTTGGAGTGGCTAAGACCTTCAACAAACCATCGCCGGTGACCGCCGAGCAGGCGGTGAAGTTCGCCAACTATTTCCTAACCCGCCGTTCCGTGCAGACTGCCAAGGGAGCTCACGTGTTAATCGAGGCCTTAAAAACTTTAAGCGGAAATGAAAAGATTTCCCCGATTTGCGTGCAACTTATCGGAAACGGTCAGTTGGAGGCCACGTCGCCCACACTGAATGTAGCTGTTGTCGATCTTCTTGGAAAACCATTGTCTCCCGCTCCCAAATCCATTAGTGCCAAGATTGTGCGCAAGAAGGACAATGTGGTGCTGACTGAGAAAGTCTCTGTGACTTCAAAATCCTCCGACAAAACCACCTACGTAGCAGACTTGACCAGCCTGAAACCAGCACGCGGAATCTACCAGGCTGAGCTAACCGCCGATGGTGGATACACCCAGACCCTGAAATTCAAGGTTCTAGGGCGCGTAAAGGTTCAGTCATTGGATGTGGGAATTGCCGAATCAGATGCCAGTGCCGCCACCCGCAAACAGAGTGTAACTTATCCCGGAAAGCTCTCTGAAGTCCTTTCGGCGGACAGCACCCAGAAGCTGTTGCTGAAGGCCGTTTTGGTTGAGGAGTCCAACGGCAAGCCATTGACCGTCCATCAGGCATTCGTGCGTTTGTTCAACAAGAAAACCGACAAGGAGATCATCTATGTTGCCGAACAGGACAGCAGCAAAGCCTACAAGTTTGACATGGATGTTGGCCACAACGGCAAGAACTTCAACTACCAGAGCGGTGTCTACAGTATTTACTTAACCGTTGGTGATGCTTCCCTGTCTAACTCCTTCGAGTGGCTGGTTGGAGAAGTGCAACTGAAGTTCAACGAGGAGAAGGGTAATATGCTTATTTTAAGAAATTTTATGAGCTTATCTAACGTACTGTATTGCAGAAGTCAAGCCAAAGACTACATCGGGTCCTCTGCCTGAGATTGTACACCAGTTCCGCGTTCCCGACAAGCGTCCACCTCGCATTGTGTCCGACATCTTCACTGGACTATGCATCACCCCATTGGTGCTACTCTTCGTCTTCTGGGGAAAACTGGGCATTAACGTGTCCAACCTGACCCTGGCACCCAGCACAATCGGTTTCCACTTAGGCTTTGGTGGCATCCTGGTGCTCTTCTTTGTTTTTTGGCTGCAACTTAACATGTTCCAGACGCTGCGCCTGCTGATCCCAATCGCAGTATTCACATTCCTCGCCGGCAACCGATTGCTGAGGCGTCTCTATGCACAACGCAACTCGAAGGCGAGCGCCTCGTAAGTCCGTTCAAAAAATTTAAAACTGAGTTACTCTCTGTCTTGCAACTTCATCAGGCATGCAAAGTTTAATAAAGCGATTTAGTTAAGTCAAAACAAAAAACACAAAAGTACACTAAAGGTTTTTTTTTTATTTATTTGTTGTATATTTTACAGCCTAGTTTCAATAGCACAAGCCATAACTTCATGACTTTCAAATCAATATTGTCTTTTAGACCATTGCTAAGCAAATAGTTGCTCCATACGCGAACAATACAAACATACAGGTATATTTACAATAGTAACAATAATGTTGGAGGTAATCTCCGGTTGAATAAGTGGCTGTTCAGAGGTGTGCCTTCATGAATGGTTTCAAGTACTTGTGGAATGATCCATTAACCGGCTCCTTGTTCAGCGGGTTCTTCTTAGTTGACTCGAAGATGTGCTCGTAAACATTGCCGTCGTAGGCACCCAGGGCGGAGTCCAAGACGCGATCATGCAGATCAAAGCTGTCCACCAAGGCCACAGCGTTTGGACGCAAACGTTTCAGGCAGCTTTCCAGACGGACTTCTAGTTTAGTGACATCTTGATCAGTGAGATCAATAAACTATAATTTCAAGAATATTAATTGATGACGTAGGACACAAGAACTAGCAAAACCTACGCGCAAGAAGTCTCCAATACGGTTAAGACAGGCATCCACCAGATATAGCTCCAATACCACTTTGAGAACATCAGCCAGAGCAGGCGAAACTTCTCGAGAAACGGATGAAAGCTCCGTATAGGCAGATTGAGCCAAGAAGGCACGAGCGTGGAGCTAAAGGTTAAACACAAATGGAAATTAGTTGTATTTTAATAAGGAAATCAAGACCTAGACATACATCTGCGGCTGCCGTCAAGAATGTGCCGCACAAGTTGGCCGCCACCTCAGTTCCGTGACCCTGTTTACGACGCAGTTCAATTTGCTCATAAGCGATTCGGGTTTTGCTGTGAGAAAAAAAAGGCAATTAGCCAGTTCAACTATAACAATGTACTTTAAACTCGTCTTACTTGGCTGCCACAAATTGGAATGCCTTCACAATGGACTCCAAGGAGCCATCAAAGTTCACAAACTTTTGTAGACTGAGTGCTTCGTTGATGTAAGCCACGGTGGGCACAAGTTTCTCGCCATTGAGGGCTTGGCCATAAACCTTCACCAGATAGCGAGCAGTCTGAAGCAGCATAACAGTGTTTTCGCCCTCGTACGTGCACACAGCCGTGGTCATGCCGTATATCGTAGGGAAATTCGAGCAGTCCATGTAGCCATGTCCTCCGCAAGATAACCGACATGTTTCAACACCAGCAGCCGCGTCCGCGCTACAAACTGCCTTCAGGCAGCAAGACAGGGCATGCATCTCTGGCAGGCGGTCAAGATTTCCCAGCTCAATCTCACCGGAGATTACGTTGTACATGTTCCAGATGCCATCGCCGGTGGTTTTAAACACAATAGCTTTGGCAATCTGGGGGAACAGCTTCAGCTGTTGAGTGGTGTGCTCCATGATCTGCGGTTCAGGCTGATTGGGATCAATGGGGCTCTGACGGCGCACTGCAGAGTAGCGGGTAGCAATGGTGGAGGCCTTGGCCAAACTCTGGGCAGTATCTCGGATCAGAGCACAACGCACAAACATCTGAAAAGTGTTCACGAATATTTTAGTTTCAGAAAGTAAATAAAGAAAGGTGGTCGTACCATTGTTCCATAAGTCAGCACACTGTTTTTGGGTGCCACGTAGGTTCCATCGGGCAAGACCTGCTGGTTCTTCATCAGCATATTGTTAAGGGGTACCCGCACATTTTTCAGACCTAGGTAGCCATTGTTGACAGCCTTCATACCCAGTTTGGTGCCAATATCTCCGATGTCGATTCCCGGCATGGGCTTATGAGTGTCGGAATCCCTAAGCTGGACAATGAAGGGCGCCAGGCCACGGAACTCGCCCTTGGTGTAGAGCTGAGCAAAAACCACAGCATGGTTGGCCGTGTGACCCACTATAGTAGAAGAGATAGGTTTAAAAATAAGTCAAATGACTATGTTAAATAGAAACTCACATCCTCCAGGCCACCACTTGTAGGCACTAAGCGTTGGAGTGTTTATCACAAACTCCTGGGTCTTAGGATCGTAGTCGGCCCGGGTTTCCAGGCCACGCAAGAATGTTCCATGTCCCAACTCAGTTTGGGCATATGTGCCAATTATCTCGCAGTCCCAGGCCTTGCTCAGCCACTCCACTTGCTGTTCCATGGTGCCCTGGCCCATGATGGTGGGCACGAACATGACGTAGTGCAGGGTCAAAGGATTTCCTTCTTTCAGAATAGCAGCTCCCAAAGATCCACCCAGCAATGCACTGCAAAAAAGGATTGGTTATTATTTCTTATTTGGATATGTTTTATGGTTACTATACTTGTAGGTATCCACTCCGTCTTCGCCATCAGCACGCAGCTTGCGAATCTTCTCTCCAATGATGCAGGCCTTTCGGAGACTATGTTCGTAGAGTTCTTTGTGCGATAGATATGAAATGGGTAAATCGTCCTCCAAAGCCGGGTCCTCCAAAAACATTTTTTCTGTTTTGAGGAAGGGAATTCATAAAAAGGATTTACTTGATTAGCCAACATCATAAAGATAAACATTGTTTGACTACGTGATCGTGAGTAGTTAGTATTTTTTTTTTAATTCAAGAGTGTTACCGGGTAGTGTCCATTTATAATGCCCTGTTCGACCATTCGAATCTATAAGATAAACCTATCAGCTAAGCCATTTTCAAGTGGATTTGAAAATAGAGTAGCACCAAACATCCAAAGTACAGGCCACCTTGGATCAATCTAGATTCGCGACAAAGTTCAAAGATTGATAATGAATTGGCCGGGAGAAGATTAAATTTTGCTTTGTTTATGGATAGGTAAGACATACATAATTAATGAACTCCGTGCATCGAACTAATGAATGATCGGGTAAAGAAGAGGCTTAGCAAAACAAAGGGGTTGATACATGTGTTTAAACTTAAACGCATATTTATCTAGTATACACTGATTAGAAAAACTAAAGCTGTAGTTTAAGACCTGATCGAGGCTTCTTTAATTGCCAAGTCATGCTTTTGGCACAATTTTCCGGCGCTGACGATTGTGAAACTCGATTGCGCCAAGCTTATACGAAGCTTTAACTTTTCAACCGACCGGTTAATGGTCATGCCTCTGGAGAAAGACAGACAAAAGAGCTTGGCACTCTGTGCAATCCGAAGATACTAAGTACATATAGATATATGCTTCACAAGCTCACCTAGGGCCTTCTTCTCCTTGTATCTATCCTCGCCACCGGCCCAGAATACGGAGAATTCATGGGGATTGAAGGTAGCCGTATTGCGCTCCTTCAGCAGGTCGGGATTCACTTCCTTGGCTGGCATTTTGCTGCTGCTGTGGTAATCAACACACGTCAAACTGGTTCTGGCGATCCGCAGCTAGGCGTCCGTCTTGGTGGAATATTGCGTACTGACTGGTTGCTTGGACGAGGGAAAGCAAAGTGCTCGCAGTGGCATCGGGTAATTGGGTGCTTGTTTTGCTCTGCTCCCGAACCAAAGGCAATCCAGATTAGCTTCTCTGATCGGATCCGAACCAAATCGGAATCTAATCACGGTGGCCAGTCCTCAAATCCGAACTTTAACCTCCCGTCCAGTGAATGTATACACTTGTAATATGCTTTTGTGTTGAAATAATCGCCAGCGCAATTATCATTCTTCAGCGATTGTTGTTGGGGGATATATTTTATTACTACATCACAATAGCAATACCCTAACACTGCGAGTTCCTTAAGATAATGAGAAAGGCTAAAACTCTTGAAAGAAATAAATGAATTTGGCCATTCTTTTACATTTCAGTAATAATGAAACTTACAAAGAATTCAGTAGATTTACCTTCTTATATATTGAATCATAACTCGTTAATTTCAATGATAAATAAGGTGAACAAAGGGCATCTAGTCCAAGACTAGTATTTTTTGTTTATTTTGGGTGTGGGACGAAACCAGCTGATGGCTAGGGTTGTCACTTATCAAGGCCGTATGTGTCCAGGGCTGCACACCAAGATAGAGGCGGGATATTTAAATAAAAATCAAAGTTACCGTTAATTAAAAACATTCATATATTTGCTAATAGATCTTGAGGTAACACCAATCTTTGGTCTTATAATAATGGGTTTAATCTTGCACACACACGTAAGAATAAATCACGTTTTAATACACTTATTAGGCGGGAAATGAATTTTGGCTTAGTTATTCAGGTAAAAGCTGAACTATATTCCATGCGACTGGCTAGTTGCTATTGCAATGCCACGCTGATGCTGGCCCACAGTGGTATCGTAGGAGCAACTATTAGGCTGATCCATTTGATGCATTTCCATACCAGCATACCAGTGACCATGCGAGGAGTCCGACATCTGATGGTAACTGAGATCCGCCGGAACATGGGATTCACTTCGTGTGGATTTTTGATACGGTTGGGCATGTAAAGTCTGCCACTCCATGCGAGAGGATGTGGCGGACGGAGGAAATGCCAGGCTGCGATTACTCTGATGGAACTCAAAGGGCCAGCTCTGCAAGAAAAATTCAAAAACAAGGATGAATGGATATTTCCATAAATCATACAAGCTGAGAAACCACATTGGCTATAAATGGAACAATATGACGACAACCCATCCGCCAGCTAGAGCGCCTTTGTTTGTTTACGCAACTTTGATTGTTTTTAGTACCCCCGCTTCTTAGGAGAAGATGTTTTCATAGATCTACAATAACAGCCTCATTAACGGATCTATAAAAACATAAACAGCCAAACACTTGCGGACAAGAGACACTCATTTGTCTGGGATAGATAGGGAATCGGTAGGCGATATAGGGATGTAAGGGATAGCAAACAAACATCACACAAATGGGTTGTTCCCACCGGATCATCTCGGGCGCGTGCGAGATCGGTTGGAATGAATTAGAATAGGGACCCGGGACTCTCCGATATGCCGCCATATGGCTACAAGACGGAACATTTTTTTGCTGAAAATTTCACGCATTCGTCGGATAAACAATTGTTGCTATTTAGATAAGTTGTGCGCCATGTACCATGAGTGATGGGATTGTGTAAACTCCGCGCAAAATAAACACGGTTAGACAAATTCTAATTACAATTATCCGAGTGGGAAAATTACCGACGCAACGACACTTTCCCTTGGATGTCATTCACTTTGTCGCATCAAAGTCGAGCATCTTTAAAAATAAAAATAACCACTAGAAACTAGCAAAAGACTAACTAATGCCCCCACATCCCGATCCTCGTCAGATCTACGTGGCCGCTCCATGGACCTGTCACTCATATTTAATATTTTTGAAATTCACAAAAGTATCGGATTACAGGAAAGCGAGGCAGTCTGAAATCACAAAATGTGATTGGAATATACTAGTGGGGGGCCCGACTGAATGGCTGTGTCTGGGCTGGCCGATTTCTTTGCATATGGGAATGGAGATGGGCTGCACCTCCATCTTTTGAAGGTGGAAAGACATGACGCCGCATCGTATACACCCAAGCAGATGTTGCGACATAAATATGCGCATTTTTATATACAATATGCAGTCTTAAATTTTGGTCATTTAATATTTGAAAATATTGCATATCATTTAACTTTAATGTGAAGCCAACATTCATATTTAACCAGTCCAATAAAGCCTATTAAATAAGTCAATTAATACTTAAGTTCATCTGATATATCTCCATAAATGGACTTAATATAATAAAGCATATAGCCATATCAAAATATATCTCTTATGACACCTGTCATTTGTTGAGGCCGCCCAGCTGCAGGTAAATATTACTAATGCCTGGCTCATTAATGCGATTCTATTCAAAATTCGTGGATGCAGTGCAGCAGCTTTAAGTGGTGGCACTGACATCACTTACCACAGGGCGACAGGGATCATAAATGTAATGACACTTACCATGCTGCCATGGCCGTTGTTGTGAAAATGGAAATTGGCTCCTCCGGAGGCGTCTGCCATGTGACTCGTGTCCAATCCTTCAGAACTGGCGGTGCTCGAATGACTGTGGTTGTGACTTTGGTTTTGGCTGTGATTGTGGGAGTGGCTGCCATTGCTGCCAGTTTCCACGGCCGTGATTAGCTGTTTTATATATAAAGTGGCCAAACGCAACGTATCCAACTTGGAGAGCTTTGTGTCCGGCGGAATGTTGGGCAACTTGGTTTTTAGGCGTCCATAGGCGCTGGATAATACTCGCATCCGCATTCGTTCCCGGGCATTGGCTGCATTTCGCTGTACCGGCGGTTGGGAGCCTAAGGGTTATAAAAATTATAGATTTTAAAATACAAGATACCAAAAACTTGTAACAAATTTGTACAGAAATTTTAGGAAAGCTCTCTAGGGTTTTTTGAATTTGAAACATTAAGTTTTCTTCAAAATCACATTTGTTTGAACTCTATAATATATTTATTTTATTCATTAAACTTAAAGTAACAGTATTCAACAAAACCCTTTAAAAATCATTTAAATTTCCTATTATTTTTAGACTTTATAATATTTAAACTATAAATATAATATAATAATTTTCACCATACCTTGAGAATCCTCATCCAATTCATCATCATAAAAATCCAATGGGCTTTGCGATCTCTTCCTGCGTGGCATTATTACACAATCTTTGTATCACCAAGTAAGATTTTCAAAATTTGCAAATGTTGTATTTTAATCACTTCAAAAACACTCCGTTTTCAAAACTCAAAAAACGAATCGTACTGAACCGAGAACGATTTAAAAGGAAATTACAACCGATCCGTAGCTCTTGTAGAGCACATCTGTGAAGGGTTCACCGGAGAGGCCGCCTTTTGAGCATTTTGCTCCTCGGATCTCTGCTCTCCAGCCTCTGGCTATTTCTGGCACCTCTGGTGGGCGTTCCCTGCTCCGTAAACAGCCGCAATTGGCGGAGGATGCCGACACATGGTGCGATCTTCGGTCTCTTTCACGGGCTCTTGGCCCCTGGCCGCCACCACATTGGCCCAGTTCTTTTTCGGTGGCAGCGGAAAATTCAAAATGAATCGCTTTGTTTATCCGGCGCTGTCTATTCCGGAGTCTTATCTTAAGGATGTGCTAAGCGTGCCAACTCTGGGGCTCCATATGGCACCACCTGGTTTTGGTCTTACAGTGCATTTAGGGCTCATCGTTTATCGTTTAATAGTGGAACGAAGTGATCATAATCCTGGAGTGCACTTTCATATCCTGTTTTGGGGTCGCAGTAGGGTCAGAGTGGAAGTCATTGGAGTAAGGAAGGAGCAACAGAGGAGCAATTTGAGGGAAAATTAAACAATTTGTTTTTAAATATTCTGTGTGATGATTTTTTTTTGTATTTAAATTAAGGAGTTCGAGGTATTTGCTTAGGAATCGGAAACAATATTGGCAATGTTATCATAAAAATGATAAAAAGTAAAATCATTATCATAAAAAGACAAAAATGCGGTCTTGCGGGGGGTTTTCAAATTCTTGAAGATGAACCCCTAGAAAATTTGATAAAAATATCGAAAAAATAAATTTCTCCTAGATTTTAAAGGAATTTGATAGTAAACAGATCTTTACATCGTTTCATGCATTTCGCTTTAATTCTGTTAGTTTTTGGCAATAATATGGTCCTCTCTAAGGTTCATATTGTTAGTCAAAAGCAACATCTTTTAAAAAACCCCTCAATTGTTTACAATAGTTAAATTAAGAATAATCTCTCTAAAAGTTCAAATCATTCTAAATAAATTGTTTTTTGACCTTTGAGGCTATGAACTGATTCTACCAATTGGCACACCTCCGCGATAAGAAAAATCTGTACGAAAATGCCTCGGCTTCGGTAGCTTTGCCTTGATTAGGGCCACAAGTGGCATCGGGACGTCACAAAAGCCTGGCTTATCAGGGAGGCGACCCTTGGGTTCATCATTCGAACCCACCATGAAGATTAGCAAGACGAATCAGCCCTCTGAGAAGTCAGTTCAGTTTTTGAATCGATCGCGTTCGGCAGCTTCTCAGAATGTGGCGCCATTGCATCCTGCAGCAGACAGCCCGCCGGGGCATCCGCAAACAAGCAAGCAAAGGAGCTGGAGGCGGGAGAACTAGAAAGGAGCCGAGTGGAGCCCTGCCAGCATCGGCAGATGTGGTAGTTGTTGGTGGGGGCTCAGCCGGATGCCATACCCTGTATCACCTGGCGCGCCGCGGTGTCAAAGCCGTGCTCCTGGAACGTGCCCAACTGACTGCCGGGACCACCTGGCACACCGCCGGCTTGCTGTGGCGCCTGCGACCCAATGACGTTGATATCCAGCTGCTGGCGAACTCCCGTCGAATGCTCCAACAATTGGAGGAGGAAACTGGCCTAGATCCGGGCTGGATTCAAAACGGAGGCATCTTTATAGCCCACAATGAAACGCGTTTGGATGAGTACCGTCGACTGGCCACAGTGGGCTCTGCTCTAGGGATTGAAAACCAAGTGTTGAGTCCTGAAGAGACACAAAAGCTATTCCCTCTCTTGGATCCCTCGGCTTTTGTGGGGGCACTTTACTCTCCAGGTGATGGTGTCATGGATCCTGCCATGTTGTGCGCGGCCCTCAAAAAGGCAGCCACCAATTTGGGCGCCCAAGTGATCGAACACTGTGGAGTGGAGGATCTTATAGTAGAGCAGACTGCCAGAGGAAAAAAGGTAACTGGAGTGGCCACATCCTTTGGTGATATCAAAACGGAGAAGGTGGTCAATGCCACTGGAGTGTGGGGTCGCGATCTGGTGGCCAAGCACGGCACTCACCTTCCCCTGGTGCCAATGAAACACGCCTATATCGTTTCCGAATCGATTCCTGGAGTTAGGGGCTTACCGAACATCCGAGATCACGATTACTCCACGTATTTCCGCATCCAGGGCGATGCCATCTGCATGGGAGGCTACGAACCGAACCCAATTTTACTGGAGCCGGTTCCCAAGGATTTCCATTTCGGTCTTTACGAACTGGATTGGTCTGTATTCGAAACTCATGTCGAAGGAGCCCAGAAACTTTGCCCCAGTTATGCCAAATACGGAGTTAAAAGCACTGTCTGTGGCCCGGAATCTTTCACTCCCGATCACAAGCCTCTGATGGGTCCCGATCCCAACGTGGATGGACTCTACCACAACTGCGGCTTCAACTCGGCTGGCATGATGTTTGGCGGAGGATGTGGCGAGCAGACGGCTCTCTGGGTCATACAAGGGCAGCCAGATCTACCCATGTTCGGCTTCGACCTTCGAAGATTTACTCCGGAGCAGGGCAAGGCCACCCAGTGGATCAGGGAGAAGTCACACGAGAGCTATGTGAAAAACTACAGCATGGTTTTCAAATACGATCAGCCCCTGGCTGGCCGGGATTTCGAAAAGGATCCGCTGCACGATGAAATGATCAAGGCTGGAGCTATGATGGAGGAGAAACAAGGTTGGGAGCGCCCTGGTTTCTTCCTGCCCTCCGGTGCCACAAAAGCTGTGGTGCAACCCTACGACTGGTATGGCAGTTATGGGCACAAGAGGAACGAGGATAGCGAGTATGAGAAAGTTTTGGAAGGAGATCTTCACTATAGCCGTTTTTCGGAGCATCACGATCTGGTAAGGTCTGGATTTTCGGCACTGCAATGAAGGTTATCAATATTTTGTTATTTATTCAAAACAGATTGGATCAGAGGCACTGGCCTGCCGTAATAATGCTGTGGTCTTCAACATGAGCTATTTCGCAAAGATTCTACTGGATGGTCCCCAAGCTCAGGAGGCAGCGGATTGGCTCTTCTCGGCTAATACAAATCGTGATCCAAGCAAGTGAGTTCTAATTGTGGTATATCTCTTTATCTATTATTTGAAAAGAGAGATTTACTTAAAAAACTATTACTATACGTGTTCGGCAATTATTGCGATAAACTAAAAAAGTCATTCAAGTGCAAGATAACGTTATCAGAGGTAGACATATGACAACCTTTGATAAAGATCGGCTTTTAACTTTTGACAACCTGTTCGATTCAAGTGCCAGACAATAACTATAAGAAACCGAAATTAACTGCCGAAAGCTTATAAATTTTTATTTTAGGAACTATCGATTAATAATCTAGAGGAATTTATAATTAAACCAAAATATCTGTTACTTCATTATCTTCTAGAACTGTTTATACTTGCGCTCTCAACGATGCCGGCGGTGTGGAGGCGGATGTGACCATTTCTCGTCTGTTGCCTGGCTCCGGCAAAGTCCACGATCCCAAGATCAGGGATCAGGGATTTTACATTGTGGCAGGTGGAGCCTCAGCCTTTTATACATATAGTGCCCTGCAAGCTGAGATCCGTAGAAAAGGCTTCGATGCCAAACTTAAGGATCTGACAGCCCAATTAGGAGTTATTTCCATTCAGGGACCCAACAGCCGCAAGATATTGGAACCCCTGCTAGACTGTAGTCTCGCCGATGATAAACTACCTCCAAACAGTACATGTTTGGCTAAATTTGGTGGTGTGGACCTCCGCCTGCTGCGGGTGAGCTTCGTGGGCGAACTGGGCTACGAACTCCACGTGCCCAAGAAGGATTGTGCGGCCGTCTATCAAAACTTGATGAAGGCAGGAGCTGGTCAGGACTTGCGCAATGCCGGCTATCGATCGCTGTACTCCCTGAGCAGTGAGAAAGGCTATCATCTGTGGAGCTTCGATCTTCGACCTGATGATACTCCGCTAGAGGCGGGCTTGGGATTCACGTGCCGTAAAAACGGCGACTATCGCGGAAAGGCAGCCATCGACAGGCAAAGAGCTGAAGGAGTTAAGAAGCGCCTGGTCTACTTAACACTCCAGGATCAAGTCCCCATTTGGGGTCTGGAAGGCGTCTATCGCAATGGCCAGCCAGTTGGCATCTTGCGACGAGCTGAGTATGCCTACACTCTAGGGAAATCCCTCGGTCAGGCCTACATTGCCCGGCCAGATGGGCAGATCATCGATACTGATTATATTAAGAGCGGGGAATACGAGGTGGACATATTGGGTCGGAGATACCGTGCCGACTGCCACTTGCGCAGCCCATTCGATCCGACGGGCCAACGGGTTCTCGGTAACTATGCTTCGGAGTCCAAACCCAATAAATAAAGACATGATCCTTTCGCTTCCAAGAACTCGTTTTCTTTCCGAAGGGAATCTCCTTTCTTCGCTGTACTTTTTTCCACTTTTCGAAGTGAAGTGCTTGCCATAAAGGATCGTAAATTACTTTCCCCGCTGACAGAGGTTCGGAGAAAGGTCGCCAGACAGTCTGGCCAGACTGCGATGCGGTTGCGGTTAACGACTCAATTAATTTTTGTGTCCAACTATTATGACATAATTCCTCTTGAGATTCCTCGAAGGCCAGACGTAATTCTAGAGCTCTCGGCCCTGCCCGGCCAGACAAACAGTCGCCTCTGGAGTGGTTTTTCATTTTGCAGATGCAACTTTAGTCAAATACGTTCTTGAGGTAATACTTTCAGCTTAAATATTAGTAAAAAAGTAATTGGCCTAAGCTCCAATGGTTACTGTGGAGGCAGTGTTGGAAGGACTATCGAAGTGGGCGGCCACCAGCTCCTCCAGCGTCACATCGAACTTGAAGATAGGTCGCAGATCGTTGTTCAATCGGCATACTACTCCGGCGGAGCCAATGTTCCAGTTCCAGCAGCTCATGGCGCAGTTAAGAGCCTCCAAATCGCCTTTCATGGAGACAATGTTCTATGGGAGAAGTAATTAGTAAAATCTGGACATTGTGTTGCTCAAAAATGTTACTTACCATGGCTACTGTGTAATCAATGGAGTTTATCTCCTCGCCTTTAATGATCACCAGCTGGGTTTCGCCATTTTGATGATTTAGGAAGCGAACTACCTTCTCTTTTAGATATTCCGCGGATGCATAGTCCAGTTTTTGTTTTACATCCACCAGACACACCTCATGACCATTTATCTAAAGCCATAAAAAAGGTAAAGTTTACGATTTTTAAAAATAGTAATCCCTTTTTATTTACCTTTTCCAGTGTTATGTCCACATGTGGGCGGGCACTGCTATAGAGTATATAAACCAGATTAGCTGCTATACCACAAAGAATTCCGTACTCCAAACTCCAGAACACACAAGTAAAATAAGTGACAGTAAAAGGAAGAAGATCCTTCTCTGAAATAACACAAATAAACCCATTAAACCAGAGTAACATTTTTTAAATCTTCGTCACTTACTTTTCGACTTCCACATATCTCTGACCTTGTGCAGTTCCACCAAGGATATCATGGCAGCTATGATAATGGCAGCCAACGTGCATTTCGGTATATAGTAGAAGGTCTGAGTGAGGAAAGCTAGAGCCATGAGAACCAGAGCTCCAGTGACAGCTCCACCGAGTGGGGTCTTAACACCACTGGCATTATTTACAGCGGTACGGGTAAAGGATCCAGTTACCGGCATGGAGAGCACAAAGCTGCCCATAATATTACACATGCCAAGAGCTACCATCTCCTGCGAGGCATCGACTATTTTTCCTTTTGCTAAAAACGAAATAATAATAAATTAGTAAGCCAATCAACAATTTAAAAATGTAAACTTACAAAAGGCCTTGGAAATTGCAACGATTTCCAAGATTGAGATCAAGGGAATGGACCCCAATGAGGCTCCTACTGTGCTGATCATTTCACCAAAGGACACATACTCGCCGTCCACCGTAGTGCTAAAGGGGGGCAGACGGAATGGCGGTACTCCGGCCGTAATATTTCCAGTTACCCTAAAAGGCTGATTTCCATCACGACTAAGAATGTATGCCAGGAAGGTGCCGAATATCACAGCAAGCGCATTACGGGAAAGGGCCAGGTACTTCCAGAAAATGCGGTTTCCCCACCTGATGTCCTTGACGCGCTGTAATTAAATGATTATTTAAATTAAAATGATAATGAATATAGATTACAAAGTATTTTGAAATATTCACATGCAACCTAATGCTAGAAATTTCTACTTGATAAGAATCATTCATTCACAACAAGTTTAGGTAACAGTCCAACATATTAATGAAATGGAATGTTGATTGTTTTCAATTGAAATATTATTAAATTGTCAAATTTTTATTTTCTGCCAATTCTTACCGTCATCAGCAGCAGAAACACAAGGGAGAACACACCCAGCAGGGCATCCCACAGCCTAATTGAAGTCAAGTGGGTGAAGAAGTTCTTCCAAGCGGGTAGCAAATCATTTGAAGGACCTGTCGGCAGCAGGTAGAATATGGAATGAGTAATGAGAATTTGAACAAAAACTGCATACTCACTGGAAAGACCCACAATGTTGTTAATCTGAGCACTGCCAATGGTGGTGGCCGCCGCCATGGTGAACCCGGTGATCACAGGAATAGATATAAACCGCACCAGTACTCCCATGTTTAGGAGGCCCAAAACCAAAACTATGCAACCAGCCAGGAAGCACAAGAGAACCGCATAGTCTGGATTAATAGTGGCATACTGGTTGACCATTAGAGCCATGATAGCAGTGGTGGCTAAGGAAGAAAGTATTATTTTAGACATACTCCTTAAGAGACCACTTTTCGTACTCACCAATTGTGACATCTTTGCAGGAACCAAAAACTATGTAGGTAAAGCAGCCCATAAAGGCTGAGTAGAGCCCATATTGTGGCTCCAATCCAGCCACGATTCCGTAGGCTATGGCTTGCGGTATGGTGGTCAGTCCAACGGTGAATCCGGCTATGAAGTCCTGCATGATGTACTCCACCCGGTAGCGGGGTAGCCATTTAAGGATGGGGAACTTGTTGGTCACGGTCGCGGGGCGGCACAGCTTTCGGCCCCCATCCCTGATAAGCGTTCCCAAATTCGGCAACTGCTCCCGGTAGAGATTGTCTGAAGGTTCGAAACATAAACTGTGAAATAACTTATTCGTCCATTGAGATAACCCCTCCTGTGCGGTCTAATCTTCCCTGGCAGCAGCAACATTTTGGGGACATCTGTCGATCTGTCGTGTTTATTGGCATTGGCCTGGTCAGCCTATCGTTTACAAGTGCTCGGACTACCCCACAATGATAAGAGCCAATCAGATACTCTTTTATGAATTGGCACGTATTTTATATGGGCATCCACTCGATCCGATAATTGCACTCTTTCCAATAGCGGCAAGATTTATGTGCAATCAAGTAACCCTGAACGGGTAACAGCCGGAAAAACCCCCATCTTTTGTTACTCACCCTCGTCGGCTCGCATCGTGGATGCTTTTCAAGTTCCGAGCTTGATCAGAATCAAAATGCTGAGAACCTGAGAATTATAGGCGGTATAATAATGGGAGCGACTATAATGAAAGCGTCCGATCAGTGTGTCGCTCCAGACGCTACTGCCGCTCCGGTCTCCGCCGACTAACTGCGATAGCGTCGTCCAGCTCTCGGCTTGGAGTGGCTATATACGAATGTATAAGCATGTTTGCCATATAGCCATATAAGATTTACAAGAGCAGGTACCGGCTTATCTTGTTAGCCATGTTAGCCATCGTCAATCAACGATTACAAAGATATTTCATACGTTTTCTTCTTCAGGACAAAGGCACTAAAGGCAGCTGCCGTAGTAGGTGACGAAATTTTTTAACGAAATAAGACTACATAGAAATAAGTTTATTATTCAAATTTTATAAATGAAATAAAATAATTGATTTTATCCGTTAATCACAAAATGTTCAAATAAAATTATATTTTAAAACAATATGAATAATAATAATGAATAATAAAATGTATAAACTGAAGTATTAAACGTATAAATCTTGTATAATAGTAAAAAGTATAAATGTGTTTTAAAATTGGTAAGAGCATTCGGTACCAGACTTTTTCCTCTCATTAAAAAGTTGGTTTTGTAAAAAAAAAACTTAAATAAATAGAGACAGTCAATATTTATAGAACTTTGCTACTGCCCGGTGCTTTCCCAGATCTTAACTTCGTGATTATTCTGCAACGATCCGCTAACAATTAAATTGGCCGTTGGATGACAATCGGTGCAGAGCACTTTGTCACCCTTGGTGTCCACCTTCTGGACGAGCTCCTTGTTTTGTAAGTTCCAGATACATAACGACATATCTTCGCTTCCCGAGACTATCCATGTGCCTGATGTGACGGAGAAATTGGAAGTCAAGCATAAGGTCTCGTTCTTGTGGCCACGATAAGAACGGAGGCATTTTGGTTTCTGAAAATTCCACAGCTTCAGTGTGTTGTTCATAGTGGAACTCAGAACGTACTTTCCATTCGGGGCAAATCTCACATGTCCCACCGGCGTGTTGTCGTCGTCGATGAGCGTCTTCAATACCTGGCAGGTGGTAGAATCCCAAATGCGCACAAGGCCATCGAAGCTACTGGTCACAAAGAGGCTTCCGTCACGGTTAAAGTCCACCGAGCTGATCGGATCCAAGTGGGCTTGTACTGTCTTCAGTGTCCTGCCTGTGCGTATGTCCCACAATCGCACGGTTTCATCAAAACTAGTAGAGGCCAGCAATTTTCCCTGAGGATGGAAGCGACACGCAAATGTAAATCCATCATGTCCCTTCAAAGTCGACTGGCAACGTCCACTGCGCACATCCCACAACCTAACAGTTTTATCGTCGCTGCAGCTGGCCAGCATATCTCCAGCTGGCTCCCAGGTCACATCATTAATTCCATGATCGTGCCCAGTCATCGATTGGATCAAAGAAGCGGTTTCCAGGTCCCATTGCTTGAGAGACCAGTCCGCCGAAGCGCTAGCAACGTACTTGCCTTCCGGACTAAATTTTACAGAAGTAACACCAGCCGTGTGTCCGGGTAGAGAGTGCTTCAGGGCGTATTCCGGGGACATTGGCTGCGTTTTAGAGGGAAGTGAGGTTATGGATGGTGGGGTAGGGATTTTGAAGGGATTATCATCGGTTGAATCGGGGCAACATGGCGATTCTGATTTTTCTGGATCAATAAGTTCAGCAGGAGGCTCTTTCATTATTTCCAATGAGTAATCTGGACTATTAGAAGACATTTCAAAAATACCTGTAAAAAAACCATAAGATTCGAAGAAGGCCTAATTGTGCATATCCTTTACCTTAATCTATAACTAATAATAGCTAAAAATTCAGTAAACTTTATTATTTTCTTATTTTTTGTTTTTACAATTCTACAATTTTTTGTGCTACAACTTCTACAACTACCAGTGTTGTGCAGTCCTAAAGAAAGAAAAAGTCTTTCAATACTACTTCGAATTGGAACACAAAATTATAACCATCTGTTGAAGCCATTTTTATTTAGAGTAAATTATCTTGCCAAGTTAAATAAAAAAAAAATGAATGAGTACAAAGCTAAAATGTGTAGAAAATCTACAAAATTGCTGAGATTACCGGCTTTACAATTCATTAGAAACTTTTTTATTACAACAATATTTGCAGAAAATATACTACAGATGGCAATTATATTTCTTTCTTCGTAGTTCAACAAGCAAGTAATTGTTTGTTTGCTCAGACAGGGGCATAAAAATCAGACTGAGAATGAAAAGCACACAAGAGAAATTAATTTGCAATTTGAGTAAATATTTGGCGACAGAACGGTCTATTTGCACAGCCTGCGAGCTATGTTGCCCAGACTTGCTAACAGAACATTACACAAACGGCCGATGGTGTGCCGCAATTTGTCACCTAATTATTTGCTGACGGTGCTAATCTTCATTCACATTCCCAAAACTAACATAAGAAAAAAAGATAATAAAGTCAGTGAACTTCTTGTCACTGGATATTTGCATATCGCTCCAAAGTCGGTAATTTTATCGGCCAAGCTTAATTTTCTCATGGATGGTGTGGCTATTTTTTTTTATTTGCTTTTAGATAAATTTTCAAAACACACTTTTCCGTTACCTTCTTTTTTGAATTTAAAAGTTTATCGATAAGTAAGGATACTTCGATAAATTAGAAGGCAGCTCTGCAACAGTTGTCATTCATTATTTCTCCAAAGTTGGCAGCGCTCTCGGAAGCGTCCAAAAATTAGCGCGAAGGAGGACATATATATACTAAAAATCTCAATATTAACAAGATGGACAGTAAACATAAAGTCGAGGTACACAAGCGGGAAATGCGATCTTTTCTGATGGCCCGCGACCCTTCAATCGATCGACGCTTCCGGCCGCGACCCAACAAAAAGCTACGCCTCTTTGATGACATCCAGGAATCGGAGGATGACAGCTTCTCGGAGTACTCAGATACCGAGTCCGACTATACTCCCAATGCCGCCTCGACAGCAACAAGCACAGGCGACAGCACTAGCACTGAAACAGGACCCCAAGTATTCCTCCGCCTGCGACCCGTTACGGATCCCTCCAAAGCCTACACAATCTCGGATGACGGCAGTGTGCTCATCACGAGTTGCAAAATAGACTCGACCAGCAACAATGTTAACCGAATGGAAAAACACTTTAGCTTCAGTTCCATCTTCGACAGCTGTGTGGGCCAGCGAGATATATATGATATATGTGTGGGTCCCAAAATCTTAGAAGAGGAATGCGTCACTATTATGACATACGGCACTTCAGGATCGGGCAAAACGTTTACACTACTCGGTAAGGTACTCTCTCACTATTTACCGGATCAATCCATAATATTTTAACTCTTTCCCAGGCGACGATGTCCGTGCTGGAATCATTCCCCGAGCACTGGAGAACATTTTCACAATCTACAAAGAGAATTTGTATCACGCTCCGAAACTGAAACTAGTCAATGGTTGCATTACTTTCCTGCAGGATGATGCCACTTTGAATGAAATACAGGTCCGAAAAAAGCTGTTGCAACTGTGCCCCGACATTACTGCCCACCACAAGCGACTAAAGCAAGTGATCGATGGTGACCATAATTTTGAGGTGAAGGCCTCTCCCGACACTTCGGTGATGGTGTGGGTGTCCTTTGTAGAGATCTACAATGAGTTGGTGCATGACTTGTTGGCCATACCGCCCCGGCAGGAAAAGCTTGGCGAGGTGCCGCGTAAAAACCTGAAGATTGTGTGTAATAAGGGGCTAGTATTCGTGAAGGGGCTGACCAGCGTGTTTGTGAAAACTAGCGAGGAAGCTCTGCAGCTTCTTCGACTTGGCCAGCAACGCTCCACATATGCCTCGACATCAGTAAACGCAAATTCCAGTCGATCGCACTGTGTTTTCACGGTTGATATACTCAAATACGATCGTTCTGGCATGACCACCCAAAGCTCCTACAGATTCTGCGATTTAGCGGGCTCCGAGCGGGTAATAAACACTGGGACCACGGGTTTGCGCCTAAAAGAGGCCAAAAACATAAACACTTCACTAATGGTCCTCGGCAGGTGTCTGGATGCGGCCAGTACGTCCCACAAAAAGAAAAATAACGACGTTATACCATACCGCGATTCCAAGCTCACCATGCTGCTGCAGGCGGCATTGCTGGGCAAAGAGAAGCTGGCTATGATTGTTACGGTCACTCCGGTAGACAAATATTACGAGGAAAACCTGAACGTCTTGAATTTTGCCTCCATTGCTAAGAATATTATATTTAAGGAGCCGGTAATTAAACAGCATAGAACCAGTTTTTGCGGCTTCATGGAGTTTTCAAAAATGGAGCCTGGCGATGAATACAAAAAGCAGCTTGAAGAAGAAAATGTCAGGTATGGAAATTCTCTGTCCAAATCATAAATATTTGTTGTATTTATAAACCCTTTTTCTTAAAAGCTTGACATTGGAGATCGAGCGCCTGAAATTCGATCATGTTCTGCAAATGCAATTGCTGGAGGAGAAGCTGCGCAAGGAACTCACCGATACATACCAGGAGATTATCAAGGACACAAAGAAACAACTAGTAGAGGAATGTGAAAAGAAGCTACTAATTGCAAACAGGGAATGGGAATTTAAGGTTCTTAGAACTCGAAAATATTTTTGATAAATTTTTTAATCCGTTTCTGTTTTTAAATGTTTGTAGCTTGCATCGCAAAAGCGCCGATACGAAGAAGATATAGAAGACCTCAAGGATGAGATAGAGGATCTAAAGAATCCTTCTCCATCGGACTGTGAAAGTGTAGATGAGGCCGAAGAGTCGAAATCCCCCATCGAAATAGTCGATGATGATTAATAGTTTTAAAATCTTAGTTCTTTCTTTAATTAAGTGTTAAGTTTTTGTGGAGTTTTTTGCCTATCTTTAGTGTTATGAAATATTTTATCTGTTTGTACCGAATGCAAAATTTTTTAATAAACGTGTCATTTATAAGTTAAATGATAATTTAATTTTTAATCCTTTCCAGATGATTTCAAGAAGGAAAATTATAGTAGAAGCAGTGACAAGTACTCCATAAGCCAACCATACCCACTGAAGATCGTCCAGACGCAAGATGGCTTTTTGTTGTGTATATTGGGCAACAGGATCATCTATTCCAGCCAACCCTGCTTCTGTCATGTCATAGTGGTGCATTCCCACCCAGTACTGGTACAATCCGTTCGCCCTCACCTCTAGAATCAGTTTGCTTACGGGCTCTATAAACCAGGAAGCACCTGGCCACTGGAAAGACATGAGAGCTAGAGACCACATACAAGCCTCCATTGAGTATATAAACAGCTCCCGGCTGAAGCGCTTTTGCTGTTCACTAAACAGAGTCCAATGAAGACGCGAGGCAAAGTAAGCGCTGCTGGAATTTCCGCTGCTCCTCACCTCATGGTACTCGCTTACATTCAGCACCAGAAGGTTAAGATGCATATCGATAACAGTGTGAAGATCCTCCTCGGTTGTAACCAATGGTAGTCTGGTCCTCTGGAGATCGGCAAAGCTTCGGGCCTGGAACTGCCTTGGCGGGTGAGCCATCATGGTTTCCAGAGCCGCCTCGAAAATGCTGCTCACATTTAAGCCCACGATGCCCAACATCAAATAGATCCACCTATTACTTGCTGGACAAGGTAACCTGAAGGATTGACCCAGAATTCCTAGTAGGGCTCTGTCATTCAGGAGAAAGTCCTCCAAGTGGACGGCTTCGCCGTTCAGCCTCTGGAGGAGACATAACACCAATCCGTAGGCGTAAGCAATACTCACAGCCAGGAGAATATTATAAGGGCTGTTTATATACCGGTATATGTCCCGCAGGGGTATCGGTTGGGCCATAGGAATCATTAGGCAAATATGAGTCATCTCAAGAGGATAACTACTGCGGTGTAGCTGGTCTCCATTTTCCTGCATTGAAATGCTGGCTGAAACGTCAATACCCAACTTATCGCCTAGTTCTCGTAGAGTACTTGAACGCAGAAATCGTCCTGGGGTAACTGCAGGAGCTAGCTTCAGAGTGGCATTTAGCTTCCAGGCTAATACGTACATAAAACGCCCCACGGAACCGGCTAGTATCTGTTTGCCACTGCGTCTATCTTTATAGAGAATAGACCTAGGGAGCCATTGGTCGGGCATCACAATCAATGGATGTCCTTGCATGTTTGGAAAAGTTGAAGGAAATATTGGTGAAGCTCCAAGAAGAATACGCTCCATTCTAAATCGAGGGTAGGGCTGATATTGGTAAAAGTACGTAGTCTCTTCTCCAGCTATGAGTCCAACAACTTTTAAAATTCTTAAATCGTAGCATTTTTTTAGTAGGAGTTCCATTCTGCTCTGATTTGAGAAGGTGTTTGCACTATAAAGTATTATTTTATCATCGCAAAAGTGCTCTAAAGATTTAAATAGATTTTGAAGATTGTCCAAATCTTTTTTCTCTTCATGTCCTTGGAAACAAAGGAGATGAAGTGGTCGGGAAATGTTTGTATTCCGAGGGCTATCATCAGTAACCGCTTGGATAATCACCGGGATTGTTAAAGATTTAAAAATTTCGGTTAGTAGGCTATCCGGACAATAGGTATTACGGATTATTAACACAGAAATTTCAGATTCCATAACACCTCTTTCTATGAAATTAGCAAGAGGACATCCAAGCACGAAGGGAGTCCAAATAATTAGTACATTTAATGTAATCCACATGCTGTTTCAAACTCAAGGACTCTATACTGATACCACCATTTATTTATATAGATTTCGAATTTCCACAAGTCACTCATTCATAAAAAAACATGCGTGGGTTTTACACGCCCCCGATGATATGGCAAAAGTCCAAAAGAAGTTTCTTTTTGTGGTATGCATATCTCAAAATATGTAATCTTTGTTAGTTTGTTACAATTGCTAAGTTGCTAAATAGTTAATGTGTGTTTGTTCGTCACATCTAAGCGACGACCATTACATTTCAGTTTTTTTACAATTATTTGTCCGTTTCCTGCTGCAAATAAATATTACAAATAGGTAATAAAATAAATAGATATTCATGTGTCTTAATTATATGTGTTTTGTTTGTATATATAGTATGTGTATGTCTGCTTTCTCTAGGTACTTAAGTCACGGTGAATGATGAACATATTGCCAATTATAATTATCAATTATTACGGTTGCCAATTGCGTTACATCTGAGAGAGCGAAAAAGAGAGCTGATTGCGCTTAAGAGGGGAAGGGAGATTCATAGTTTGAGGTTCAAAAAGAAGTACATCATGGAGATCGCCTGTATAACTTAGGAAGAGTTTTAGCCTAAACAATTGTTAATTTGCACTAAACGGAATGTTAAATACACAGAATGTCACAAGATTCATCTACTAACAAGATTATTCGGAAGGAACAACAAAATAAATAGAATCAAAGTACTCAGATAACGCTGCTTAGATTTGAACTGGAAACTGGTCCAGTGTTGTTTTTCTGTGGAGTGGATGTCGGCGTCGTGGACATGATTAGCCCATTGACCGATCCACCATCGAGCAGTTGGAGCAGCCTGTGCCTTGTGCGTTTATCATTGATAAAAATGCACTGAATCAGGCTGGTCAACTGCTTTGCGGAATATTCGTCGCTTTGTCGTTGCTGCTCGATCCATTGCTCGAACTGTTCGGGCGCAAAGTAGTATGTTTTAATAAACACGTCTACATAAGACCGATGCTGCGGGTACTTCTGGTTTGATATCAGTTCCAGGAAAGACATAAAGTTAGCAAAATCCAGTTGCATAAGAGCTCGCCCTCCCGCGGAGCATTTCTTCACGTTGGAGAATCTACGGAAATCAAACTATAACACATTTTTTTATCTAGAAATTGATAACTTACCCCTCAACCAACAGGTGCGTGGCAACATGGGCCATTGAATTCCACACATGCTTGCTGGGTACAGGTACCTCTTTCGCGATCTCCTCCAAACACATGGCAAAGCTCTGAATGTTCTGAAAATATTGTTAAACATTGGTTAGCCCTGAACTGGATGAAAGGAAAATACACCTACCCTATTCAACACATCGCTGTAGCTGCTGTGCTGATGTATCACATGATTCACATCCCATTTCACCTTGGCCATTTGTGACAGAATTGCCGACAAATCGATTACACGAGAGGTAACGCAGGTGTAAACGGGTTTTGCCAGATCCAACATGTAATCACTGTACTCGAGATAACTGGAAAGTATGGGACGTTCAGAGACAGGCAACAGGTGGTTGAGATAGTGTTGCAATATTTGGAACTGCTGCAGCATGCTGCGTCCAGCTTCAACGGCCACGATTCGTTGTGACAGGCCGTAGAGTGTATCTGGATTAACCAATTCATTGTTGGCCTAAATTAAAAATTTTTTGGATAAAAACATAGTTAAAAAAGATTAGTAAAAAGATAATTTACCAGCGATGAAAAGTTTAGAGGCCACAATTTGATTTGGGGCAGGACGTTCGTCTCCACAGTTTGTAATCGCATTTCCAGACTTCGTGTATACAAATTATCCGTCGCCACTAGCTACAAAAGGTTAATTTTTAGTAATTTTATTACAAAATTAGTTGGGGATACTTACTGCGTCTTTGCCAAAGATCTCATGCACCGCATAAACATAGAAGTCAATCAGCTCCAGCATGCAGGACACAATCTTGGGAGAAATACAATGCAACAGTTTGCACATTTGAAGGTAGCGACCGATACAACGTAGAACATTCAGGGCTGTGTTGTTTACCAACAATTGACTGAAAATACATAAAAATTGATTAAAGAATCATTAGGGCAAAAGAAATAATCATCGTACTTGCTGGCATCGTCGAATTCTTTGCTCTGCAGACTTTTCTGCTCGTCGTCGCTTTCCTCGCTGAAATAGCAAGAAGCCTCGTCAACAATGCCGGATAAGATGTCCTCCTCCAACATTGCAGCATCCAGTCCTCCGTCAAAGGGCGAACTCTTCTCGGAGAATCTGAGGAAATAGCCATAGGAACCGTAAATAGAACTGCCACCATCCTGGGAATGAACGGAGACTAACTCGTCGCAGTTGTTATTGCTAATGGGAGAGTTGTTAGAAGAGGGCAGCAAGGCTGTTGTTGGTGATTTGTGTCGCCTCAGAGTGTGGCGAACAGTTCGAAATTCCTGCCATAAAAATAAGGTATTAAAGTAAACTGCTTTAACAGCTTATTAAAAATACACACAGGCAGTTGAAGGATGTGCGAAAACGAATCGACTGGCGTCCAGGACTCGTTGTCTAGGAATAGGCAGATTTCCTCCACACAGGAAATGTGATAGGTCCGGAAAAACTCCTCGCTTTGATGTTGCATCGTTTCAATCAGTTTATCCGATTGCTCGCCGCAGAACTCCAGGCCCACCTTCTTAAGTCGCTGCACCACGGACAGCAGCTGTATAAACTGGTCGTACTTGAGCGCCTTTAGCTTGGCCGACTGCAGGAATAGGCACACTTTGGTCAGAATGTCATTCCAAACACGCGATTGGCCCTTTTTTAGTTTCTGCTGAATATAAACGTCTGGGGAATCCTCTACATCGTGCCCATAAAGCTTATAGTTATTGTGCCACATAACAACCTGATAATAGGAGGCCAAAATGGTCCAAAAAGTTTTGCACAGGCTGATGAGGCAAGGCAAAAGCTTTTCCACGGCTAGCTGCTCGCATAGTTGTTCGTACAACGGCTTCGCCTGATCATCCTGGCAGGGATCACTGTATCCACGAAGCACGGAATTCACCGAAGAGTGAATTGCCGAGATATAGTTTATGTGCAGTTGATCCATGGCCATAAGGGATTTGTTGGCTAGCTTATAGGCCTCTTGAAGCTTCGCATATTTGCGTGCGTCGAAACTCAGGACCATTTCGTTGAGAACAGTATCCAATTGGAACTCCATCAGCAGCATAGTCTCCTGAAGTTTTTTCGATAGCGATTGTACACAGTTAAACTGCATATAAGCCTCAGCGGAGCTTTTACACTGCAGTAGTAGACCAATAGCTGCGCTATAATTGTGATCCGCCAAGAGTTTCTGGACCTCCACATCGGTAGTGCGCTTAAAAATAAAATAATACATAAAATAAATGTGTAAGAAAAAAAACATTAATTTACCAGCGTCTTAATAGCCACCAGAGTGTCCAACACCTCCTTGAGCACCTCCCGCTTGCGATAGCTGGCCAAGATCTCCAGACTGGTGGTAGTGAGGTTGGTTCGTGCAAAATTCAAGTAGGATCTAGCTTTCTGGCACGTCCACAGCGACTCCTCCAGCCTCTTCTGGGTTTCATTGATTGACGCAAACTCTGTGCTGCACGCATTCCGTTGCTCCAGGATGTTTTGCAGCACCTGCTTAGTTAAAACCTTTTGCTGAGTGCGCAGTTGTGCAATGGTGACTTCGATCAGCTCGTTGTCTATGCCGTCGTTGAGCACTTTCTGTTGGGCATTATGAAATGAGGCGGTTAATGTCACGGGTCGCTAGACGTAAAGCAAGTTTACCTTGAGCTCGTATAATTGCGGATTGCTGTCGGGGCTGTAATAGCATTGGTCAATACCCTCCAGGATCTCCTGGTCCGATTTTTGTGCGTTACTTTGTGTGTCCCCTGCGGCCGCGGTTTCCCCATCCGTGGTATCCGGCTCCTGGCTGGGCGATGTATCCGCCGTCACCGTCTGGATGAAGTAATCCGAAAAGCCCATTGCAGGAATTTTCATTTGTCGATTCGTCTATGTGTGTGCGTGAGTGTTTCCAGTTATTGTTTGGTGGGAGGAACGAGACAAGGTTGGTGGTTAGATCGTTAAGTTCCCTAACGATGCGGCGAAATATTACCTGTTTGTGCAGCAAATCCATGAATTTGCTCTTGAATTCATCCATTTTGGCCTTGGAGTTCTGCATCTTGCAGCCATGTAGAAATTGCACAAAAAACAAAAACTTGTCCCCCACTCCCGCACTCCAAACAATCCCAATGTGACCAAGCTCCAATCCGCTGAAAATGCAGACACTTAGCACCTTCAGAAGGGGACGTTAATCTTTGTTTATCATTTCAACAAATATAATTATAAATTCTTTAATTGGTTCTAAACTAGTTTAAAATACATACTTATGTCTTAAGTTTCCATTAGAGGAAATATTTACCAAAAAAGGTGGATACAAGTTGGGTACAAGTTAATGAAACGATTTACAACACTGCCAGACGTACTGCATTTCGGTTATTATTGTTATATTTTTGCATGTTTACCTCTTTTGTGTGGAATGTCAAAGTCCCCTAGGATTAATAAAAGGAACATAGAAAGATGCGCATATGCATGGCGTCGGACTTCTTTTATCCGAGCATCGGAGGCGTCGAGGAACATGTTTACAATCTCTCGCAAATGCTGCTCAGATTGGGCCATAAGGTGCTCCATAAAACTTTGTTGAAATTGTTCTTCGACTAATTATTCTCTTATTATTTAAGGTTGTGGTGCTGACGCACTCTTATGGAGACTGCAATGGAATACGTTACGTGACTGGCGGCTTAAAGGTCTACTATCTTCCCATTAAAGTGTGTTACAACCAGTGTATCCTGCCAACCGCTGTATGCAATGTGCCAATTCTACGAGCGGTCCTTCTCCGAGAACGGGTTGACGTGGTCCACGGGCATTCGGCCTTCAGCGCCTTGGCCCACGAGGCGTTGATGGTGGGATCATTGTTAGGTCTTAAGGTGGGAAATAATAGTCATTATGGATCGATGAAATAACTCCCATTTTTTGCAGACTGTTTTCACCGATCACAGTTTATTTGGCTTCGCAGATTTGTCGGCGGCCCTGACAAACAATCTGCTTGAGGTCAATTTAAGCATGGTCAACCACGCCATTTGTGTCTCTCATATTGGCAAGGAAAACACTGTACTTAGAGCCAAGGTGGCTAAACATCGCGTATCAGTGATACCAAATGCGGTGGACACTGCTCTGTTCACACCAGACCCTAGTCAGCGCCCAAGCAATGATAGAAGTACGAATTTTATTTTATTAATTAATATACGTTAAAACAAATATTATTTTAGTTAACATCGTTGTGGCGTCACGACTTGTATACCGTAAAGGAATTGATCTTCTGGCCGGAGTAATTCCCCGCTTCAAAAACACTCCCAATGTGCATTTTATAATAGTCGGCGATGGACCAAAACGCGATTTATTGGAGGAGATTCGCGAAAAGACAAACATGCAAGACAGGGTAGAGATGGTTGGTGCCGTGGAACATGCCAAAGTTCGCGATATTCTAGTTCGTGGCCATATATTTGTAAATACTTCGTTGACTGAGGCCTACTGCATGGCAATTGTGGAGGCTGCTTCTTGCGGTCTTCAGGTCGTGTCGACAAGCGTCGGCGGCATTCCAGAGGTGTTGCCTCAAAGTTTAATTTTTCTGGCGGAACCTGACATTGATGCCATTTACAGCGGGATACTAGTAGCAATAGAAAGACACCGAAAGAATGGCTTTAAGACGCTTAACCCTAACCCAGCCAATGGCCATTTGGAATCAGGAGACAACTGTCGTGGAAAGCGGAGACATCGACGAAAAAAAGAAGCAGATGTATCCCAATCTATCGACGATTCACTGGAAGGTCAGACCAATCACCTAAAACCAATTTTATGCCCCTACCGATGCAACGAGTTGGTCGAAACTCTATACAACTGGGAGGATGTGGCGTTACGTACGGTAAAGGTTTACAATCGGGTTCTCCAAGAACGATCTTTCACTACCAGCGAGCTGGTTGTTGCAGTGTGGCAGCATGGTTCCTGGTTCCTTGTCTTCTTTGTAGTCGCCCACTTCCTTATGCGCCTACTAGAGTTTTGGCGTCCGCGAAATCGCGTCGAGCCAGCTCAAGATATGCAGCGTCTGCCCAGCTAGCAAAGCCAAATAAATCTTTTTTATTAAATAATTTTAAGTATTTATCCTCACAAACTGGTTGAAAAGTTGTATCACTAACCATACAGCATATAGACAACCCATTTCATACAACGAAAATGGACGCGAAAATTTCTTGCGACAGGCCCCAGCAGGCCCCAGAGCGGATTTCTTACGCTCTCTTACGCTCATCGTTCGTTCATCTTACGCTCATTCTCGCAATAAATGTTTTCTGTTTCTCAGTCTCTAAACGGAGCGCGATGAAGAAGGTTGGCCTGCGCTTCGGTTGATCTTTGTATGTATGCGTGTCACACATTCACATACATGGGTGTATGTGTGCGTGCGATTTCGTTTCGAAGCCAGCGCACAAAATTTTGATTTTTCTTACTTTTAAGGCTTGCTACCCTAACAAAATTCGGGTATTCGTTATTTGATGAAATGACGAAAGAAATTATATTATTTTTTATTTTATTTTTTTTTATTATTTCAGCATACATTTTTAATTTATTTAGGAATAAGATTAAGTGTTAGTAGTAAAATGTTTTCTGTATATATATTTTTACGAATCATTAAAAATCAATATACTGAGAAAGTGTCAGAGTATATTTCGGTCGGAGTCACTTAAAGCGCCGATTGCTTTTAAGTTTTTGTTGTTCTGCAAGAGGCTTGTGCATGCCTACTCTAACGATGGAATGATTTTTAGGGGAGGGTGAAGACACGAAAACAGCTGATGGACTTGTTTACCTTTTTTGTTTACAATTTTTCAGGCACTTGTTATTATATTTTGGGTTATTGTGAGATTTAATTAAATTATTGTCGTTAATTTAATAATTTCCTTATATATATTTCCTTATATATAATAACTTTAAAAAGTAATTTAATTCTTCACCCGTCTTCACCCTCCCCTAAAAATCATTCCATCGTTAGAGTAGGCATGCACAAGCCTCTTGCAGAACAACAAAAACTTAAAAGCAATCGGCGCTTTAAGTGACTCCGACCGAAATATACTCTGACACTTTCTCAGTATATTGATTTTTAATGATTCGTAAAAATATATATACAGAAAACATTTTACTACTAACACTTAATCTTATTCCTAAATAAATTAAAAATGTATGCTGAAATAATAAAAAAATATAATATACAAAATAATATAATTTCTTTCGTCATTTCATCAAATAACGAATACCCGAATTTTGTTAGGGTAGCAAGCCTTAAAAGTAAGAAAAATCAAAATTTTGTGCGCTGGCTTCGAAACGAAATCGCACGCACACATACACCCATGTATGTGAATGTGTGACACGCATACATACAAAGATCAACCGAAGCGCAGGCCAACCTTCTTCATCGCGCTCCGTTTAGAGACTGAGAAACAGAAAACATTTAATGCGAGAATGAGCGTAAGATGAACGAACGATGAGCGTAAGAGAGCGTAAGAAATCCGCTCTGGGGCCTGCTGGGGCCTGTAGCAAGAAATTTTCGCGTCCATTTTCGTTGTATGAAATGGGTTGTCTATATGCTGTATGGTTAGTGGTTGTATACTGCCTTAAATTGTAGTAGAATACACTGTTAGCTTGAACTGTCTACCAAATTCGTTGTTATGAACACTTCTTCCACGCAAGCCCAAACTGGAGCGGTAGTGGAGGGTTCGGGTTCCACCGCGGCCTTTCAAGATGAATCTCTGCAGCCACAACGAAATGTAAAAACCAGTAAGTCCACATTAAGATACTTTTTTTTTATTTCTTTTTTTTCAACAGCCTACTTCACTTTTTATTTAGGCGAAGATATTCCCCCAAACCGCGCGGAAAAGACACTATACGTTATGTCCCTTATTCTGGCAATCGTTACATTTCCGATTTCGCTTTTCGTTTGCCTCAGAATCCTGTCTGAGTTCCAACGAGGAGTGATCCTACGTCTTGGTCGTCTACGTCCAAAGCCACCATGTGGACCTGGTGTTGTTTTTTACCTACCCTGCATTGATACCCTGCGAATTGTAGACCTTCGCACCACTTCATTTGATCTGGATACGCAGGAAATTCTTACCAAAGACATGGTCACGATCAATATCGATGGAGTTGTTTACTACAGTATCAAAAGTCCTATTGACGCTTTGCTTCAGGTTTTCGATCCTACGGAAGCCACGGAAAAGCTAGCGATGACCACGCTCCGGAACGTGGCCGGCACTCTCAAACTGATGGATCTTCTTGCTTCCAAAGAGTACCTTTCCTACCAAATTGAGGCCATTCTTTACAACTCCACCGAGCCGTGGGGAGTGCGTGTGGAGAGGGTGGAAATGTAAGTAATCTCATCTCAGTATCGCTTAAATAAATCTCGTATTTCTATCAGTAAGGAGATAGGCATACCGGATCAGTTAAAGCGTGCCCTGGCAGTCGAACAGGAAGCTATGCGAGAGGCAAAGGCCAAAGTGGCTGCCGCCCAAGGAGAACGCGATGCAGTGCGTGCTCTGAAGGAGGCTGCCGACATAATGGAGACCAATCCCATTGCCCTGCAACTTCGCTATCTTCAGACCCTAAACACCATCTGCAACGACAATACCAGGTCTTACGTGTTTCCCTTTCCAGTAGATATTGTAAAACGGATGATGAAATGATCATAAGAAGTTTCTAAAAATATATAATATATAATATATTTTTCCTTTCCTTTCTTTGCATTAAATTAGAATTATGTTAAAAATTAACACTGTTTTTAAAAAAGTTAAATTTTTGAAAACAAGATTGGGTGGCAAGGCTGACAATAAAATTTAAGGAGACCAGCTTCCGCAAAGATTTGGTGACTTAATACCGTACACATCTGGGCACATTGAACATTAGCGGACACCAGACGGGTGATAAACTAATTAACCATTGACACCACATAATCCGTTGGAAAATCCGAACCCAGGTGACTGATTGGACCTCCTGCGCTGCTAGAATCCCAGTTTGGACCCTGGTCAAGGTAAGCTGTGATGGAAGTTTTCACATGTAGCGCTTTTCGGACTGTTAACCTTTTCAGATGGCCGAACTGGTGAGGGATTGGCTGGCGGATTACCAGCGAACGAGGGGGCAGCCAGCAGAGGCGGAGGCGTTTGCCGTGGAGCATGAAACGGACCCTGAAATCGCCGAGGCCATCTTTACCATTTTCAATGAAAGGCAGCGGGGTAATGAAGCGCTGCTTCATGACATTTGCCAGCAGTTACTGGCCTTCTATCGTTCTCCAGAGCTGGCGCTACACAAATTTCCCCTGCAGTTCATCCCAGTGCTGGTATACACTTACCTCCACGCAGTGGCTGGTGGTGACAAGAAAGCCGCCCGCGGTGTTGAAACGCTGCTCATCTGCATTTACAATGGCGAGGTGTCTACCGACGACGGCGGCCAGCGGATAGTGGCTTTCCGCATGCCGATCCTTGCTCAGGTGTCGGTCTACCACGAGCTGAAGAACCTGCCCATGACTGATTTACGCCGCTGGGAGGAGAACTGCAATCGGGAGGTCAAGTGGGGTCCTCACCAACGCATCGAGACGATCCATGCTCAGAATCGAATGCGCATCCTTACGGCATTGTTGTTTTGTTACAACCAGCAAGTAAGCCAGACACAGAAGTCCTCGCTGCTTCACCTCTGCCGGGTAACATCACAGTTGGTGAACCAGGGATTCACTACCAAGTCTGGGCATGGCCATAGGATGAGTTATGGGTATGGTAAACCCTATGAAACCTTGTGTTATAGTTTACTGAGGTAACGCTTACTTGCAGGGCCGATCCAGCCACAGGTGCTCCCTTTCCCAAGCCTTCCTCGCCACGCATTCCACTGTCTGCCTCTTTTCTAATCGAACTGGTGCACGCCATCTACTTTGCAATGTTCAATGGTTATGGAACGATAGCCATTCAGACGCTAGACGATATACACAACCGCGCTACCTATGAGATGTACACCGAATTGATTTTGGTAACCAGTGCGGTGCGCAACTCGCTCCACGCCAATCCTTCCGGTCAACCCAATGACGGGCCTATGGGATTGAGTGTGGCTCTGACTCCAGCCACTAATACCGTGACCACATCAGTTTCCAAGTCGATGATCACGAACGCCTCCTTCCGCACGAAAAAGCTGCCCGATGACATTCCCATTCAGGTGCAGGACCTCACCATGCAGCAGGCGCCACAACAGTTAGCTAGTGTATCGGAGGAAGCAGAACCGGGTTCAAAGGAGTCACCATCTACCAAGGAAAAGGAGAGCTCTGGTACGCGAACTTCTATTATGCGGCCTAGCATGGAAGGCATTAAGGCACAAGCGCACAAGGCGCTAATTGCCGGATTCAAAAAGTCCAAGGACAAGGAAAAAGAGAAGGAAAAGGATAAGGAGCCGCCTAAGCCGCCACAGCGTAAATTCGATAAGCATACGCAGCGCAACTCATTGCTCCAGCTCCAGGCAGAGCCCAACGCAAATCTTGCTAACTCCAGCATCCAGGAGCAACCACCCACCGGCGATGTTTTGCCGATGCAGACCTTCTCGCTGATTAACGAGAATGGCGGAAGTAACAGCAATAGCTTTAGCGTAGACAGCGACCTGAACGATGGTGTTCTGGGGGGAAATACTACCGGTAACCTGCCTCCGCTGAGCAGCACCACCAACTCTGTGACCAGCAGTGATCTGCTCACCAAGAGCTTTGACTCTAGCATTGAATTGGCGCCGCTTGGTCACAGCAGCAGCAACGGTGGCAAGCTGGCCGAACATAGTTTGGTGGAGTAGTGCAATCAATCGCCTTGTTCGTCGGGTGATTAGCCAAATCCAAGTATCAAGTATATATACGTTTACAACAATTACAAGATGGGTGGGTGGGTTTCCAGAAAGAAAATCTATGCCAAGCAACGTAATCTATCGTATTTTCCAAGACATCTTTCTCAAAAATCATCTATTAATTCGCACATTTAAAATTTTTTTAAATACATATATGCCAAATAACTTTTCCACTTATTCATATCAATAGCAAACCTAAAACCTCCATTGATTTTGCGATATGAATTTAAAGAATATTTAGGATAAATAGACTACAGGAGCTTTTTCAAATATTTTCCGTAACATAACTATGTAACTATACATTGATATTAGTGATTAAGATTACTAAGTATGATTACCAAAGATTACTTGCATCAGCAAAGATTCCCTATCAACCCAAAAGTTCACCCACCCTACTATATACACATATATTCGCCACCTACCGCTGTGTATTAACCGAACATAATCGGGGCGAGGAGAAAGATTTGAATTTAGCAATTAAGGATCGTTTGAATTTGTTAAACTTGATGGGTTCTCTTAGTTGTTCGCCTGTATTATTGTATTCCAATCCCAATTGTTGGTTAGGCTAAGTGTTGCTAGGACGTCACAACAATTACAAATTATATATACAATACGTATACACTCGGAACCGCTCGGTAGACATCGTTTGCATGCAAATAATTCGATTGGGGCTATTGTATGTCCCATTTTCGGTGAAAATAATGAACGTACATGAATCGCGATGCATTTCACTTGTTTTAAGTAAGCAGCATGATTGCTCACACATTCGATATCTACTGTACATTCAAACAGAGTTGGGTCCAGGCAATGTAAATGGAATTTAGTTCTGTCACTTATTAGCATATATGTATACATGTGTAAACTAATATATACATACAAATATTTATTGAACGTTGACTTGAACCATGTTATTGATTTAAAATAAATACAACTAAATACGTAACTGATGGTCATTGTCCTTGGTGGTCACGTCGATTTCTTTCGAAACTTGCCTTGCAGAAAGATTCTAGGCACATCGATACCTTCCTTCAGATTGAGGGTCCTCCGATGGACGTAGGCATTAGTGATTACCTCAAAGCCGTTCTCCACGAATAGCTGGGCTACTTCCTGCTCGGAATAGAAGTAACTACGAGTGCCATCCTGTCGCACGTAAAGGTTATCTGATATCTTGTTGCCTGGTTTGAAACGTAGTTGGGCCATATCGTACAGCCCGTAGTCTCTAAAAAGCACCAGGCCTCCCGGCTTGAGTAGCTTCCAAAGGTTCACTACTACGTCCTGGAACTTATGCGGATGAATGGCCGACAGCACAAATATTAAAGTGCACACATCAAGGCTTCCGGGCGCAATATTCTCATGCACCTGTTGTGTGGTTATGTCGCACTGAAAGGCTGTAATCTGTTCAGGATCGTAAAGCGGATTTGAGCGCACAAAATCAACAGCTCTGGGAGAGAAGTCACAGGCATAGAAGTAGAACCTATCGCCACTATTCTTGTAATTCTTTTGCTCCTCCAAAAGGGGGAACACGAGGTTTCCCACCCCGCATCCAACTTCAAACAGATTTCGTTTCCCGCCTTCAGTCTCCGGTTGGTCCAGCAACTCCTGGAACTCCCGCGTTGTCCAGTGTCGGTCCTTAAAAAACCTGGTTTCATTTCGTTTGTAAAATATATCCCAGTTTCTTTGAGCGTCAATTTCTAGTTTGTTGGCTTTGAACTCGGAGACGAGACCACGTTTGTCTTGTTCCTCCAGCTTCTGCTTCTCCGCCGGTGTGAGTTCCTTAGTTTTTGTGGTGAATACATCTGGTTCGAGGGGATCCTTGAAAAGTTTTGGGGTTTACAATATGTTTGCGAAACTAAAATGATTTTGTTTATGTTACCATTAAACACTTTTCTTTATTTTTACGTTTTATATCAAATCAGCAGGTAAACAATGAGTATAGAATAAGGTCACACTAAATGACATAGTAGTCGGCCGAATATTTTTCATGGGGGTCAATGGATGGATAATTGTTCAACGGATATACGGTTTAAAAATAAGGAAAGCGAAAACAACAATAAGTTTTCAACGAAATCAATATGTAGAAATAATATTGACAACGATTTTAGCTTTCAGATTTTAGATTTTGGGGCTAAATTGGATATCCTAGATTTTGCAAGGAAAATATTTTTTGATCAGAAAAATTTGAAAAATCTGGGTCAAAATTTTTGGTTCAAGGTTTTGATTTAGATTGAAGAAGAATCGAACTACAAATCGTTTAAGGTATTCCTTCCAAGGATCGGATGAAAACTGGCCAAGATATGGACTTGGTTTGGGGCTAAAATGGAAATCCTGGATTTTCCAAGGGGTTCCATCAGAAAAATTTGAAAAATCTGGATCGAAATTTTTGATGTAAGGTTTTGATGCAGATTGAAGGAGAATCGAACTACAAATCGTTTAAGGTATTCCTTCCGAGGATCGGATGGAAATTGGCCAAGATATAGACTTGGTTTGGGGCTAAAATGGAAATCCTGGATTTTTCAAGGGGCTTCATCAGAATAATTTGAAAAATCGGGATCGAAATTTTCGTTTTGAGGTTTTGATGCAGATTAAATAAAAATCCAACTACAAATCGTTTAAGGTATTCCTTCCAAGGATCGGATGGAAATTGGCCAAGATATGGACCTGGATTGGGGCTAAAATAGAAATCGTAGATTTCGCAAGGGGTTCCATCAGAAAAATTTGAAAAATCTGGGTCGAAATTTTTGGTTCAAGGTTTTGATTTAGATTGAAGGAGAATCGAACTAGAAATCGTTTAAGGTACTCCTCTCAAGGATCGGATGAAAATTGGCCAAGATATGGACCTTGTTTGGGGCTAAAATGGATATTCTGGTTTTTTGAAGGGGGTCCATCAGAAAAATTTGAAAAATCGGGATCGAAATTTTCGTTTTGAGTTTTTGATGCAGATTGAAGCAGAATCCAACTAGAAATCGTTTAAGGTACTCCTCTCAAGGATCGGATGAAAATTGGCCAAGATATGGACCTCGTTTGGGGCTAAAATGGAAATCCTGGATTTTCCAAGGGGCTTCATCAGAAAAATTTGAAAAATCGGGATCGAAATTTTCGTTTTGAGGTTTTGATGCAGATTGAAGCAGAATCCAACTACAAATAGTTAAAGGTACTCCTCTCAAGGATCGGATGAAAATTGGCCAAGATATGGACCTCGTTTGGGGCTAAAATGGAAATCCTGGATTTTCCAAGGGGCTTCATCAGAAAAATTTGAAAAATCGGGATCGAAATTTTCGTTTTGAGGTTTTGATGCAGATTGAAGCAGAATCCAACTACAATTAGTTAAAGGTACTCCTCTCAAGGATCGGATGAAAATTGGCCAAAATATGGACCTCGTTTGGGGCTAAAATGGAAATCCTGGATTTTCCATATGGACCTCGTTTGGGGCTAAAATGGATATTCTGGTTTTTTGAAGGGGGTCCATCAGAAAAATTTTAAAAATCGGGATCGAAATTTTCGTTTTGAGGTTTTGATGCAGATTGAAGCAGAATCCAACTAGAAATCGTTTAAGGTACTCCTCTCAAGGATCGGATGAAAATTGGCCAAGATATGGACCTCGTTTGGGGCTAAAATGGATATTCTGGTTTTTTGAAGGGGGTCCATCAGAAAAATTTGAAAAATCGGGATCGAAATTTTCGTTTTGAGTTTTTGATGCAGATTGAAGCAGAATCCAACTAGAAATCGTTTAAGGTACTCCTCTCAAGGATCGGATGAAAATTGGCCAAGATATGGACCTCGTTTGGGGCTAAAATGGAAATCCTGGATTTTCCAAGGGGCTTCATCAGAAAAATTTGAAAAATCGGGATCGAAATTTTCGTTTTGAGGTTTTGATGCAGATTGAAGCAGAATCCAACTACAAATCGTTTAAGGTACTCCTCTCAAGGATCGGATGAAAATTGGCCAAGATATGATTGATATGATTGATATGAGATATGATTTCGTTTTGAGGTTTTGATGCAGATTGAAGCAGAATCCAACTACAAACCGTTTAAGGTACTCCTCTCAAGGATCGGATGAAAATTGGCCAAGATATGGACCTCGTTTGGGGCTAAAATGGATATTCTGGTTTTTTGAAGGGGGTCCATCAGAAAAATTTGAAAAATCGGGATCGAAATTTTCGTTTTGAGGTTTTGATGCAGATTGAAGCAGAATCCAACTAGAAATCGTTTAAGGTACTCCTCTCAAGGATCGGATGAAAATGGGCCAAGATATGGACCTCGTTTGGGGCTAAAATGGATATCCTGGTTTTTTGAAGGGGGTCCATCAGAAAAATTTGAAAAATCGGGATCGAAATTTTTGGTTCAAGGTTTTGATTTAGATTAAAGGAGAATCGAACTACAAATCGTTTAAGGTATTCCTTCCGAGGATCGGATGGAAATTGGCCAAGATATGGACTTGGTTTGGGGCTAAAATGGAAATCCTGGATTTTGCAGGGGTTCCATCCGAAAAATTTGAAAAATCTGGGTCGAAATTTTTGGTTCAAGGTTTTGATTTAGATTGATAAAGAATCGAACTACAAATCTTTTAAGGTATTCCTTCCAAGTTTTGTTGTGAGTTGGTATAGAATCGATCAACAATACTTCGAATCATTTTTCTTTGGGATCGAAGGTTATTTCTTAAAATTATTGAATGGAGCTAGTGACGATGAGTATTGACTGAAAATATATGCTTTATTGCCTTGAGATTCTTATAGTTATAAAGCGAACATTTTAAATACAGCCATTATTAAAACAACAAATAACAAAAGTATGCTGAAAAGCAACAGAATTGCTTTGGTCTTTGGTCGCTGGATGGGCATTTGGTCAATCAAAGCCCATTGTGGTCTGGGGCAGGTTATCTGCCCATGATGGTGGGCTCATCCGCCATGGCCACCTCATCGTTGGGCGCCTTGGCGCCTTTTTTCTTGCCCGAGTACCAGAGGAACATAACACCGCATAGAATATTATCCGCAAAAGTGAACCAGGCCAAGAAGACTCCATACCCGTAGCTGAAATTGAAGAGGTCCCATTAATCATAGAATAAATCTCACATTAGTTTCATACGTTAACTCTGCTCCATCGGGATACGCGTAAAATAGATGATCCTTCGTATAGTCAATTGAAGAGAAGAGTACCTGGAGTACCACCAGGGCTGTGGATGCTGCAACCAGGTGAATTCCTCCCGCCAGTCGCTTGAACATATAGCGCGGATTCATGAACGTGTAGAAGGAGAACACTGCCCCCAAGCTCATCACGAACAACGTAATGCAGGCAAAGGACGCCTGCGTCCGGATATAGTCTGAAAGGAAGTACCAAGCCACTGCCAATTAGGAGCTGTTACCAAAATGTACCAATTTGGAATACTTACCCAATAGCTCGTCGTCGAATCCAGGCTCATTTCGAAGGGCGTTAGAGTTGGGGAACATGTCAATATACTTGCATCGTTCTATAGAAAGAATTGGGTTAAATTTGATTCTTATTTTTAGTGACTATATTATATTAAATCTTACGGTTCGGGATGTAGCTGTAATAGGCACTTTGACCTCCGCGTTTTGGCGGCAGCGGAGGCACTAAGATTAGAAGCACCCGCTCGTCATTCAGAACATAAGCGGGAATACCAATGTCCCGGATATAGGTACCCAACAACCGCACCACCAGAGGATAATTCGTCCAGTTACTGAAGATGGCCAACTGAGCCACCTCTGGTATCACATAATAGGACCAGGTGTTGTTGTACTTCACCCGCTGCAGAGCCGATCCGAATGTATTCCTCCTAATAATTCCCTGCACATCTAAAGGATCAATGGGTATAGGTTTGTTCGCCGTGGCATTGATCTGCCTTTGGTTCTCTTCGGTGGACATCACAATGGATCGGAACGCGTTTCGCAGGGTCTGGAAGTCCTCGTCCTCGCCTCGTGCCCAATGAGCAAACATGTGTCGTCTAGCTGCTTCTGTGAAATTATCTCCTGTGTCCAATTTTTCCTTGGCAAACTCCTTGATGAAGTCCATGTGCGAGAGATTCCGTTTGGCCTCGTTGATGTTCGTCTGCGCCGTGTAGGACATGGAACTGAAGTTCCTCACCACCTGGGCATTGCTTAGAGCATTGGGAACAATGGTGTTCCGGCAGTGGCGCCATAATCCCGAGTGCGAGGACATAAAGAATCTTCTTGACTCCGGAATAAAGATGCCTTTTAGAGAAATGATAATAAATGATTTAATACAAAAAGGGAAAGGGTTATCCTTTAAAGTTTCAACTCACCTTGTCCACCGGAAATGATTATCCAATGATCGGTCGATATCGCCACTATCCAGATCAGCAGCGATACCACCGTCAGCAAGCTGCATCCCAGGAGGACCCGGCGCTGGAACATGTAGGCCTCCATAAGAGGACGCCTGGCCTCATCGCGGCCGATGGTCGATGTGGACAGGTCACGCTTCATTCTTGTGCCGCTTTCCAATCCCCTCTATGGCTCTCTGGACGTTGACAACGAGCAATCCTCACACACATGGAACAGCACGCATTCCTGGGGAATGGGAGGGAAATGGTGCGAGTTAGTGAAGTAATTTGTTGTGGCAACTTAACCGACTCTTTTAATATCTCCCCAGGCAAATGAAGTCATGCGGATATATCGCACACATGTGGGGCATTGACGGGTCTCGTAATTGTTTGTCAGGTGTTTCTTTGGGCCTACACGTTATTGATGGTCATGCCATCCGGCAGACTGTCCTATCCCCTGCCAGATCTTTCTTATTTAAACAATATTTTATTTTTATACAAAACATACAGCTGCAGGCAAAACAACAATAGTTTAAAAATAAAAGCATTTGGACGGAAATGCTTAACTTCTAACATGTGTTAACTATAATTTTTTTCACCTATACAGCAGTTTTGGACTAAAATGTGTAACTTTAAAGTATTCCTTAATATTTATAGTCTTATAATAAAAATTATCTAGAAATATATGTTTAAAATTTATATGCAATGATAAATTTATAATTCCTTGAAATGGAAATGCTATTTTTTAACTGGGTTTTTAAGCTGAATATTTTATTAAAATTTTAACTAAAAAATAGATATGTATTTTCTTGACAAAGAATACTATTTCATTAACTTGAAGTGTTCATTCGGATCAACCCACGAGCGTGCCCATCAATTATGCTGCTTTGGAGAAATTTATTTTATTTTCTCTATATATATTTATTTACATGTTGTCTAGGCAACCAGAAATTCCCATTCGAAAACGGATTTTCTGACAGAAATTAAGCAAATTAGTGGACACATTCAAAAGCGAGCACACCCGCGAAATATAAATGACAAAATGCGAAATTCCTTCTTAAAATTGTTCTGCCTCTTCGCGGAATATATGTGAGAATTAGGTGCGCCAATTTGAGTGGGTGGGCGCATGGTTGGGTGGAGTGGCAGGTGAAGATTGAGGGATTCCGGTTGGGGATAGAAGGGGTATGCGTGCAACAGTCCCATATAGTTGTGAATATATATAGTTAGAGCTGACTGTCGGCCATGTGTATGCCGTTTATTTTGGTGATTCCTTCTTTCTTTTGAAAACAATAATTAGGCTAACAAAAGTGTCATTTTTAATATTTTTTTGGGGAAAACCCAAAGAGAATTTTCCTGCATGAATGTGGCGCCAGATTTTACTTCTTCACTTCAGATTCTCCACTTCCGCGATCTATTCTTGGAAGTGATGTTGCAGTTGCAGTTGGGGAGTTGCAACAGTTGCGTCATGAAGTGCGTCATTGCGATCAAGAGAAGAACAATTTCTAGTGGATGTGCCACTTTCCTACGTACACGATTTTCGAATTTCTATTTATTTGGTTTTTTTTTAGCCACTTTTTTTTGCAGAGTTTTTTTTCACAGAGATTACAAGAAACCATTTTCTTTTGTTAGACCATTATTTTTAGACCATCGACGAGACTAAAGATACATTGTCAGAGTTCTGACTGACAAATCGGTTGGAATCATCATTTATTCACATCTTGTTGAGGTTTGGGTGTGCATATTGACACTTTTGACAGGGGAAATTTTATATTTTGAAAAAAAAACGCTCACCCAAATAACCGCTCGACTGCCTGCCTGCCTCCCTTCGTATTTATTTATTTGTTTTGTGTTTCAGCTTTTGTTTTACTTGCCGCCGTTGGCCGTTGTATTTTTGGTATGCGCCGTATAATTCAATTTCCACCCCGGCGAAAAAGAAGCGAATTTTGAGAAATGTGTATTTAATTAATGCCCCACATAAATAATGCCAATGCCAGCCAATTCGTCGGACTCAGCTATGGACGATTCCGACTATCTCACACTGGCCCATAAAATGTCAAATAGTGTTAACATCTGTCAGGTATCCTGATTTATGGTTATATAAGAGCGGTGTGTTCAGCTCCAAGATCGGATGCAATGTTTACCATTAAATCTGCAGCGTTGCAACAATGATCCCAGGCCCCAAGCTGATTGTTTATGACCAATTTGTTTAGTTTGTGAGTTTATGAGCTGGCGGGTTGGTCTAAAATAAAATTTTGCTAATTTCTCAACTAAAAACCGAGACGGACCAGCGATAACAACCGAAATAAATAAATATACTGCGCGCGAACCAAATGAATTCTGTCGAAAAAATCGGAATAAAAGAGCGCGATTTTGGGTCCGGATAGGCGACGAACGGTACACGGTTCCGTTGACTCCCTTGCTCGTCTGCTCCTGGCCAAAGCAGAGCACAGACTGACTGGCTACTGGCCACTAGTGGTTGTCGTTCGTATGCCATTCAGCTTTGTTTTCCCTCTGCTCTGCTTTGGTTTGCCTTGCTCTGGGGAGCGGGCCAAGTCAAAGATTGCCTGCGTGAGCAACGACGGTCCATTGTTAGCCAGCATAAACATAAAAATCGTTCTACTTATACAAATCTGAGAGGGTGGTGTGGTGGTGTGGGCCAAAAAGAGGGCTGGCCCAATGCTGCCACCTGCAGCAAGTTGCCGAAGGAACCGGGCGGGCAGACGTCATCGTTGCTTAATTGCGCCATAAACATGAACTCAACTCTACGGCAGTGTGTGCACAAATTTAGAATTTCGATGAATTTAGGCATCTCTTTTTTTAATGATACACAGAGCATGGTACATGGGCAGCTATTTTTATATCCTCACTAGCCACGCTAGCTGAACGAAATTCCCCCCCCGTTTGCGTTTCCCTCGCAATGCCATTAAATGTTGACAACGCCTTTATGAATGCCTTTGGATCTGTTGGCATACCATTAACAGATCGTTCAGCCCGCAAAAAGGGGCAACGAATGGACGGCGGCAGCCAGCGGATGACGTGGTGCGAAAGACAGCTAACCACTTGTTGGCCAGCCAGTGGTTGTTCCGTGCCTTGTATAGCTGCATCCGTGTATACATAATTTATTGCTGCCTGTCCGAAATGCGCAGTGCACCCATATCGAGATTCAGCTCAGTGAGGATGTCATTAGGAGCTGAACCCTGCATTGTGAGTCCAGCAATTACTTGTTGAACCTCCGGGCAGTTGATGCAGGCATTTCGTATAGCCAGGATGCTCCACTCTCGCATTACTACAGAAAAAAAATTTTAATTTTGAAAAAATATAAGAAAGTTCAAGAGTTCTTACAAGGATTTCGGGCATCCATTACGGTACATTCCAGAAGGGTTGGCAATAGCTGGGTATCCAAGCAGTAACCCTTGTTTTCCTTGTTGTCGTAAAGCAGGTTAGCAGTGCACCGAACAAGTAGAGTTTTAAGTTCATATGAAACCTTCTTTTCATAGCCAGCATCGATTCCTGATGTAAGGGCTACTTCCTCTAGCTTGGTCATGGGTTTGTCCAGGCCTCCTCCGTCGGGCTCCTTTCCCGCGGCCACCACGCATCTCAACAGACTACTCACGTTGATAAACAGGGAGTGATCTGCGCTATAAACATTGGCATACTTTTCGGAACCACTGGCACTCGCGATGATTCGCAACAAAGTATGAACCTCGCGGGGATGCAACTCATGTTTTAGCTTGAGAGTCTCCCGCAGGAGACAATCCGACTTAAGACGGAATTCCTTGGCAAAGTGCTGCAGTAAGAAAAGCGTCACTTCACCGTTTGGACTGTTTTCCCTGAGATAGTGAGCTACATAATCCAAAAAGGACACACGATCTTCTGTTTCCAGCTTTTGGTAACATGCCACGCAACCACGGCCATTCTTAACGATAAAGTGTTCAAGGAAAAAATGCAGATACTCAAAATTGTATGTGCATTGTGCCTCGTTTATTTCATGCCATAGCCGGAGACACGTCTGGAGCGCTACAAGGTCGCTTATTAATCCCCTACCATTAAGGTATATATTGTACATGATCATCAGGAGCACATTATTGGAGCTTCCCAGTGGAGGAGCATAAACTTGTTCCGATATTTTTGTGCCATGCTGTGTCCAAGTGATACTTTGGGTAACTTCATTATTAACTACACTGTTGGCTAAGACTTGAAGGGACAAATTGTGAATAATCCGCTGCTCCGTGCGCATTTGTGGGTTGAAAGCCACAGCATCCAGAAATTTGGCGAAGTCTTCATTTCTGGCCAATGTTTCTTGGCTTTCTGCGCCTTGGGTGAGCAAAAGCCTCAAACTCTTAAGAATTCCTGTGATTTCATCCGCATTTTCAATTGGATTTAAACACACTAGCCTATTTATAAGGTCATTGGTTTCCCTGTGCTGAAAAAATAATACAAATATTATTGTTTATTTTAAACTAAAAAAATGCATCTTACCACATGCGCCATCGCAAACAGCTGTTTTCCGCCAAGTGTTATCGATAGACTCTGCCCGCTTACCAACACTATCCAATTAGGTCAGAATTTCTCTTCTCCATAAATACGGTCGCGCTAAAAAAGAAAAAGAAAGAAAAACAACAAAAAGGGATCAAGTTTTGCAATAAATTTAAAAAGTCATGTAGCAAACAAAGCTACAGCGACTGGATGCAATATAATAATAAAAACAAACAAAGCAATGTCACTGCGGGCGCTCCGGAAAAGAGAGACAAACAATAGCTACATTAACAATAATAACAACTTAAGAACACCAGCGCCAGCAACAACAACTCTCTTCAAGAAAGCAACAACGTCACCGAAAAAAAATCTTAACAAAACTGCCAACTCTAATAGGGGCTTAGGCAAACAGTCCTTGCTCCAACAGCGAAAGTTGTTGGGAAGGTCCTGCAACTCGTGTCCTGACCTTCGACAACTGGGGTGGTACAGCAACAACAACAATAACGGCAGCCTGTTGCGCAGTAAATCGGAAGGGGATGTTGGAGTAGTTACCTCGGGAGCCCCTCTAACCGTAGCCAACGCCAAATCAGAGGTGTGTTTGCAAAGAATTAGCTCACACAGTTACGAACCGTCGGGAATTCCTGCAACAGAAATGCTGGGAGGAGCACGTTCACATCGGGACTTGACACAATCCTCATATGGAAACCAATCGGGAGAGCTGGTGCAGGGTAGAGCACCCCGCAGAATGAGCGAATGCAGTCTTGGCTACAGCCAGACAAGTTCGCGATCTATGTTCGCCAGCCAGATGACGTTATCTTCGGGATCTGCGGCTCCACCTGTTGATCCCAATTCCGTGCTCAGGGTGCCCATTATCGGCTATGAGGTAATGGAAGAACGAGCACGGTTCACGGTCTACAAATTGCGCGTCGAAAACCCAGAGACGAACGACTGCTGGCTGGTAATGCGCCGGTACACGGACTTTGTCCGCCTCAATGGAAAACTCAAGCAGGCTTTTCCAAATGTTAACCTTATTCTACCGCGGAAGAAACTGTTTGGGGACAACTTTAACGCCGTCTTCCTGGACAATCGCGTGCAAGGCCTTCAGATCTTCGTAAATTCCGTAATGGCCAAGGAGGAGCTGCGAAAATGCAAGTTGGTGCGGGAGTTCTTCTGTCTGGACGAGCCGCCCTCGTACTCAGAGTCTATGGAGGAGTGTCGGGTAGGGTGAAATCTTCTTTTTTGCACCCACATTTTACAATTCACATGTTTTTAGGCAATTTTTGAGGCCCAGGAGGAAACTATCACCCACTTAAAGCTGCAGATACAGAATAAAAACGATCTCATACTCAGTTTGCAGCAGAAATTGCGTGACGAGATTAACGAAAAAGATCAGCTCAGAGAGACCTTAAAGTAAGTTTATGCATGAAAATCGGTCTTTCTTTAATTAAAACAAAAATCTGTTTCAGAAACATAAACCTTAACTGTTCGCACTGCTCCTCAGCCAATGAAGGCAGTCTGGATGACAAGTAGACCTTAATATAATCGAAGAAGAAAACTAGATCCAAGTCTAGTTGGATGAGTCTGAGTGCACAATATTATGCTGAGCATAACTCTGGGCACCAGCACCCCTTATATGAAGCAATCATATCAACTCAACCCAACTCAATAATCCAAACCCAAGTGCATATCGGGAAGCTCTGATGCTCCTTCAGTGCTTTAGTATTCATAAATAGGCCTAGATGCTAGCAAATGCTGCCCCCATGCTGGTACTAAGTGGAGTATAATGGTAGTTATTTTTGATATTCGTTTATGGGCAATATATAATTAAGGAATATTTAATTAGATTAAGTACAGAAATTAGCCCGTGTATACGATATGTTATGCAAGCTCACATACAAAATAAACCTAAGGCACAATTTATTACACAATGAAAGTGGCACTATTTTACTAAACAATTTGAAGGCAATGGAAGGCAATCTTAGAGGCTGGTCAGTCTCCCTCGTTATGCTAAGATAATGAAAGTAAATCAAATACGATTTTGTTAAAAAAAATTAAAGTAAAGTTGACATCTTAAAGGCTTGTCATGGCTGGCGGTCGAGCATATGCCTTTGGAATAAATCCATACTTCCTGGTCTTGGGAGCATACGCCCAAAGCCATCCATCTACGGTTTGATTGTTGAGATCGGCGTATATCCAATCCCCACGGCGCACAGAAAGGTACAGATCATCTGGAGCTTGGGCTTTGTAATCATAAAGCATCACAAGCTCCGTTCCGTGATAGCGTAGGTCATCTGTTCCTAATCCCAGTTGCTGTTGTTGCTGCTGGTTCTGCTGACCTTGTTGACCCTGCTGCAGGATATTCTCGACAGCTGTCAGAGTGGCTTTTTGTTGCTGCAGGACACGCACACTGTCGGCAGGGTAAATGAAGCTGGCCGGGACAAATCCCTCCTGGCCGTCACTTCGCATTATCCAAAACCAGTCGGGATCCTCGCGATTAAGAACCGTGACGAATTCGCCACGTTCCACGGACAGGTCGTTCTCGTCGCGTGCAATGAAGGTGTATAGAACAATGCAACGGCCAGAAGGTTCTTTAATGAATGGGGTACACTCTGGCTCTACAAGAAGAATATTCTCCATGCTTTTCGCCGACCCTGCATTCAAGGTTTCATCACACAGCACATCCAGTTTATTGTCTGCGCCCAGGAGTGGTAGATTTTCATCTTGCGGCTGGTCGGGACATTGATCTCGAGGAAGTTTCTTCTTTACGGCCAGATCCGCCAACTGAGTATTGCATGGAGCACAATAGGAGAATGGAATGAAACCTTCCTGGCGAGAGTCCTGCCCAATCACATAGACCCAGTCGTTCTCTCTGTACAGAATATTAACCAGCTGACCTCTTTTAACTTCCAGTTCATCATCCACACAGGGTGTAAAGTCATGCAGTACTACCATCTTAGAATCGGGACTGAAAAAAGGACAATTTAAATATAAAACTCTTGAAGTATAAAGAAATACGCACCTTAAACCGTGTTCCTTTTCGATTCCTACTCTTACTAAGGTTTCAATGCTAGATGAGCCAGTTATGCGTCCCATTCCCAAGCCACCCACAGCGGGAAGATCTCGTTCTATGCTGGCATTTGTGGCTACATTTTACAGAAAAAGAATTATTAGTTTTTATTTTATAAAAGTCCTTGTTTTTTATAAGTGTATCAGCGAGAAACAAGTTTGTTATTGAAGTCTTTTGATTTTGATGAACCGATTATTTCATCTTCATTTACCTTTCTTCTTGTCGCGCCGCATACGCACAGGGCAAAGGAAAGCCATATTTGGTTCCTTTTTTAACTAAAATACCTTAAAACACAAGTTTTTTGTCTATTTATTCGACTTATTTATTTATGCTCGATCTTGGTTTGGTGTTCTCTTTTGCTAGGGATGAGATACAAGTGATTTCGATTTTTTTAATCGATTGGTTAAAGGTTGAGGGCGCGAAATTTAAATAATTATTGATATTTAGTCTAAATAGCTCTGTTCTTTCAAGCATGCAAATACGGTAGAAAGCGTGTGCCGTTCTTGAATGGGGCCTTCAATTTGGGTGCACTGCACCTGTGACCATTGTGCAAGATAGCCTTGCACCTCGTCCAACCATTAATTCACTTTGAGCTCTTAGTAATCTATCAAAGATTTCTTTAGCTCTTCGCGTATCCACCTTGGCTTTATCCTAGTATTGATGTACCGACGAGTGCGTTTATAAAAATCGACGTATTTTCGATCACGAAGTGCGCGTTCCACGTACTGATACCGACGCCGCCCATACACATAATCCCAGGCATGAGTAAAGTTTACCGTCATGAGTGTGATCGCTATGGCGGTAAGCAGCTTCAAAAAGTACCAACAGTCCTGACGAAGGAACACGAACACTTTGGGATAATCGACCAGGAGATTCAAAACTGGTCGAGTGTTCATTAGGGAATCCCGTAGCACATGCAGTAGAAAATGGAATGGCTCCCACACGCATAGCACTATAAACTGGGTGCACAGATAAAAACATCCCAATTCCAGAAATAAACGCCACAGTTCGTCTAAAGGCGCAAATAAGTTGACCCTCGCATGGTTCAATAGAAGCACAACCGACAGGATGAACAAAATCGTCGACAGATCAGGGGCGTCCTTCAGCGGTACTATGTAGAAGCCAGAAAGGTAAAAGATCACAGAGCCAAAGAAGGCGGCCAGCAATTCAGCGATCTCGAAATAGCCACGCACAAGTATCATCTTGTTGTTGGACGAGGATTTCAAAAATGGAAAATATACGACTGATTTGGTTTAATAATTACGTTATATTATAAAAGTACTAAGTGTGTCGAGCTTGTATTTCAGTTTAACAAATTTGACAAGTGAGTTTTCAAGGTCTACTATATATAGCGACATTTGAAGCTTAAACTTGACGCATTTTTCCTGCCCCATCGTCCTTGATCCGTACTCCCTTTACTCGCGTCACTCCCATTCCCTGACAGCTTTCATAAAAGTGGGGGGCATTGCACTATTTTGGTGCCAAGGATAACATTTTTGCATGCAATTTTCGATTATAAGGGTCGAAGAGAACCAACTACGAAGAGAGGCAGCCAGCGAAAGTGTGCAAACTGACCTACACTTCGGCACATGCCCCACCGAAAGCCCCCAAAGTCGCCATGACGAAATTGCGCATTAGGTTTCCCCAGAATTATCCAACGTAGAACAAAACAGCAGCAGGTGCCACACCCCCTAAGACACCCCTTCAACTTGACTTTTGCCTACTACGCAGTTGATTTCACATCCGCATCGCATCCTCATCCACATCCACATCCTCATCCTCATCATGCACATCCACCCCCGTCCAACCATCGACAGCCACACATCCCCATGCCCTATCCCAAGTTTTAGTGGAGAGAGCTGTCTGCTTTCCCAGTTAATCGATAGAGTGGATTCTGCGCACTCCCCCCAATCCTCGGATGCCATTCACAAAAAAGGGGCGGCTGGGCGGGCAGGGCCGGGCAGGGCCGGGCAGGAGGTGGATGGATGAGATGCCGCTCATCACGGGTGGCTGTTGTGTCTGCTGCTGGGTAATTGTTGCTCGGACCTCTGATGGACGAACAAAAAAATGGGACTAGACAGGACTCCCGAATTAAAAGAACTGGGTAGGCGGGAGCCGGAAAGGGAGCACACTGGCTTTGTGGGTCAGATATTTTTGGGTGACACGCGCATTATATTTATGTTCATTTAATCTTATAAATAGCAAGGAAACATTGGCCTGGCATTAATTAAATACGATAGTCCTTGACAAATGTCACCCCCGAATTATGCATCGGGAATGGTGAAATTTGACTCTAACCTTGAGATTCTCAAGAACCCATAAAATACTTTCTTCCTTGTTTAAATTATTAGCAAATTATTTACCATTTCGGCTACATTTGCATTCCAATCGAGCCGGGAATTCGAAATTTCATCACATCATTTTCATTTCAAACATTGTGTAATGCAATTGCCAAATGGAAAATGAAAAATGGAAATTTTACGAGGGAGGGAAAAACAATGGGCAGAAGCCCAGAAAATGCAGCCGTGGCAGATGATAGAGGAATAGGCAATACTCGCTGCCACAAAAATGTTTCATGCACTGTGTGCATATATTTCGATTTGGCTAAAAATGTTCAGCAATTGGCAAAATTCCAAAATGTGTAGAGATTTGAAAAGAGGAATTATTATACTGAATGTTCATCTTATTTCGAGATTACTGAAAGTATGAATAAGTGAAAGTTTGTTGGCTGGGAGAAGACAAAAGAAGCAATAAGATCTGAGCAGGACTTTTCGCAAATCCTTTCTTCGTTCGTGACCAAGCATCAACTGCAGATTTCATTACAAGCCATTGGGGTTACAACCTGCACAGGGAGAAAACTAACGAGATAGGAAATTATATAATAAAAGTTGAATTAACTAAAGACTTAACTTAAATTTTAAACCATCCATCAAGAAGCTCTATACTCTAAATTTCAAAGTTGAGGGTCATTTCACTGAAATACGACGTCCTCTCTGCACAGCGTCACAAAAGAGCAGTACAGGAAGAAGATGTTGTGGGTGGCTGATGGGTAGCAGGGAGGACCTAAGTGTGCTTTCAAGGACATGCATACATTACTCTGCGTTTGGAGGCATTAAGCCGTGAAATGCGACCAAAGCTACGTAAAGCCACAATGCCATCCATTGCTGTGGCTGCGCAAATGGCAGTAGGTGCTGGCTGGTGTTAACGGTGCGTATGTGTGATATGTAATTATTGTAGGTGGCCGCGAACCGGGGCGTGGCAAAGTAGATGAGGCTTGTGGCATATAGACCGTTGTTTATGCCATTGTTTGACTTGCAATGCAGCCACGTCCTTGCCAACTTTTCAGTTCACTGCGAGAGTTCAGAGCACCAGATGAAGCTCAGAACGAAGCGGAACGAATCTAAACGAACGCACTCAAATCCCGTCGGGCCCTGCACTCGCTTTCATTCAGTAGAAATCACCCACATTTCTCCCTCCCTCTTTAGTTACATACATATGTACATACATATATCTTTCCTTTTCGGCATACGTAGCTGGGAGCACGTGCGCCACTGCTCCATTCCGCTCATTCGATGTTGGGTCCTCGTACGGTGTGGTCGTCGCATTTCAGTTGCTCTCGTTGCGTGATTTGATTTCCCAAACGTGTATGTGTGTTAGTGTATGAGTGCGGTTAAAAGGCAGCAACAAAAACAACAACAACAACAAGGAGAGAGCTAAAACAACAGCCGAAAATTAGGTAAATGGCGGGCACAAGTGTTGCAACTAGTTAAAGGGGTAAAGCACTTTAAAGCTGCACAGAGAGAAATAACAATAAAATGTATGAAAATTATTAAATAAATATCAAAGCCTAAACTAATAACCTTCAAAGTTCAATCGCTTTTTGTGGCTAATGCGGCGTATACGTAATTTTTATGGCTAATATGCTTAGCTACTCAGGGTCATGAATTGAATAACTTTTTACCTTTTTGTGCAACCACCTGGGTCGATTACTTCAAGGACTTTGTAGAAGTTTAAAAAAAAAAAGAAGAAAAATGAGATGCTTTTTGGCATCCTTTCTCAGGGTCTGGCTTTATTTTTCGCCAATTCTTGTTTTGCTCCCAATTACGTCTACGAAGCAGCCCATGTTTTCTTTTCATTGTTTACATTTTTCTCGCTGCCTGTTTGGATTTTATTTATTTTCTTTATTTTTACCGACATAAAGCAGAGGACATAAAAAAAGTATTATTCTTTTTGTTGTTGTTTGCTCCCGCTAAGACGTCAAAGACACTTTAATGTGTCCATATAGCATATATCCACAAATGTGTATAAAAATACACAAAATTGGAGAATATTTCGCATGTTTATTTTATTTTATTTTAAGATAGCCGACACGCAAAATATACATCTCGGGTGAAGTGCCAGACATTGTCAATCAATTAGTCATTAAATGGGTGTATTAAGAATCATATATATTTTATGCGACTAATAAATATTAATCAGGGGGATTATGGTGGGGGTTAAATGAGTTTTTCGCCAAGGTCAGGTTTCATTTTGGCTGAATTTTCTTGAGGAGGGTGACTATATTACCATTTGTTTGTTTTCCATTTGCATAATCAAATTTTGTTTATTACTTTCCCAGCCAGGCGCATCAATTTAAATGCAAATCTGAAAACTGGCCAATTGCACAAACTGTGTATTTTATTTCACCCCCTGGCTGCCAGGCTGATGTTTGTTGTTTTGCGGAATTTCTCGAAAGTTCGCAGTAGTTCATTGGGGGAATAAGAACTTGACACTCGTAAATTGAGTGGGGGTACCCCCTTTCCGGTCAGTCTCCTTTCCCAAAATGCAAATTGCATTCAATTGGGCTTAATTGCACAATCTGTGGTTGCACTTGTTTGATTTTTTCCATATTTTCAATTGCATTTAAAAAAGGAGAAATAATTGAGGGAAAAGGTGTTCTTTCCTAAGATCCACCACTATTTCATCACGTCTTGCAAAAGGAGGTCTCTAAAAAGGATAACTCTATAGCTTGAATATTTTTCATCCTAAAATCTTTATTAAAAATTCTTAATTTTACAAATATAAAAAATATATATATATATTTTTTTTATCTATCATTTTAGCTATGGATAAACATAATTTGAAAATATATGCAATCTCCCTGAGTGAACTCATTGAGATTCGTCATAATTGAGCCAACAAAAATGAATCAAAAGAGCAGCCAACTCAACCAACTCATAGATAGAGAGTGAGAGAGGCCGACAGAGAGAGAGAGAGAAAGAGAGAGTGTGGAGTATTGGAGCACGTCATCGTCATCATCTGAAGAGCCCCCACATTTGAGTGAAAGAGAGCGCGCCAGCGCACTCCGCCCTCATTTACACGCCCATTTCACAACCCCGAAAGTAACCAAAACTGTCATCACATTCAAAAATATACAAATATATTCGAATTAAAGAACATCCAGCGAGGTAATTAACCAAAGGAAACCGCGATAATATCACTCGATTGACCTCCTTCCCCCCTCCAACAAAAGAAAAAAATCAACAAAGAGCCTGCGCAGATCCAAAGAGCATTTGGATACACGAAAAAGAGACATCGCAGAGCTGCGGCCCCACATTCGAAAAATTTGAGTCTCTCGAGAAACAACGTGCGTCCGAACGAGCGGAAAGTTTTATTTTTGCGGCCCGGCCTACTGCAGTTGTAGTTGTAATTTTCAACTGCAAATATAATTGTATTTTCTCAAGTGAATTTTCACTGTTTGGCGTATAAAATCAGCAATCCGCCTGGGGCCATTTCCAAGCGAATGCAAGACATTGCCTAAAAGTAGTGCGTCGAGTGAAAAATATTGATTTTTTTGTCGGCTTGGAAGTGCGTCGATGACCTCGCACAAAACTACTACCACAGCGACCAGTAGTGTATTTGTGAGCAAAAAGCTGCAGTGCTTAATAATATTCAAAGCTGTTGTTGTCTATTGAGTTTTGAAGAAAGCCACGCTTTACATAATTGCCCCAGTGCCGAGACAGGCAACGGCAACAACAACAACGGCGTCGGGAAAACTCACAGTCGACGGAGGAAAACGAAGAACAAGAACCAGACACATGCTCAGGTATCGTCTCGTGTCCACTCATTTCCTCAAGCAGCCGTAGTCAGCCCGAGCGGAAAAGCCTATAAAAGCGCGACAGGTGCTCGCAGAGATTTCATTATATCAACCGATCGTTGCAATATCGTTGCCTGCTTGCCACTTGCAACAGCAATCGTTGCAATAGTGCCACCCACTTACCATCCACCCGCTTCCGGCGTGAACGTAAACAAGCGAA